GAAAGAAAGGCTTCACATGATGACAGATGCTGCACACACATGCGTACGCACACACACCAGCAGGCTTTATGCATTCCTCAGCCTATTACCCTAACCCTGCACGTCCACAGTCTGAAGAGGCAGTTGTGTATTAATGTGGTTTGAGCCCAATATCAGGGCACACATTTCACTACTTTGTTCGTGTGCAAACTTGTGCTACATCACTACAAAACAATTAAACTAAAGATGTTAATGTACCTTTGTTTTGGCTAACTATTAGCTTTTTCTCAGCTATTTTTCCCCTCCTTCTATACATGTCATTGTCATTATACAGTATTACATGAATACTTTCTGTTTCAGTTTTAACAATTTAATTATTTTTAAAACTACTGCACAGACTATTTCTTTAGATTAATCTTGGGATTTTTTGTTGCTACATATAGTATTCGTACTTATCCCTCAGCTTTTTCTGCCTAAATTTTGGCTTATTTCCAGAATCATATTTACCCATAATTCTTGTCATTTCCTGTTTACAATTTTTTTTTTTTACATGCTGCAAGCATTTCAGTGTGTTTGTGTATTTTGGCTCAGGTTTTCTATTTTTGTACACCTAAAGTCCAAGCTCAAAGTTAGTCATGTTAAGGAGAAATGAGACATTTTTACATTATGTGCACCTTTTCTGTACAAAAAAAAACATTAAGTGAACATATCCAAACATATCAGGACTTATAAAAGTTAAAGCACTTTTTTTCTAGATATCCCAGGAACCTCTGAAGAAGACAAGAAGCTGCAGCTTCTCCCACAGCCTGGGCAGAGGTAAAGTGAATGTCAGAACACTGTAATAGGGTTTGTCAGAACTTGTCCTCCCCCGGGTCCTGAACCGTAAGACCAAATACAAAAATCCCTCTCACACACATCTCCCTCTCTCTGTATTATCCTCATTTCCGTGCCAATCCTGTCTGCACAAGCAAAGATCAGTCCACTTTCCACTGTGATTTCATTGTGGCTGCTCTGGAACTCTGAGGAACTCTTATTCTCTCTCTTTTCTTCTCCCATGCTTAAAAAATAAATTCCACCTGTCTTCTGCTTTCAAGTTGTCAAAACTCAAGACAGAGGCATATTTCCACATTTCTAAAGAAAATTGTAGTGATTGACTGTAATACCTTGGAGATTATTTAATCCCTCCATTTTAAATATCACATTTTCATAAATTTCCTTAATTTTTACAGAACATCTCAATCTTTTGTCTCTAGAAATGTCCTTGTATACTGTGAATGTTTTATAGTTTTTAGTTTAAAAACTATCAACAGTCAATTAAAACGTTTAATATCTGGAGACTTAGAGAATTGGTTTAATAATGGTTTAATAATATGCAATCATTTAATAAATACATATTTAAATACATACACAGAACACTGCCACCAAATGGCTTAAAAACGTAATGTCCAACGTCATCCTAAGACAAGGCACTAGCAGGGCTATTTCTTCACATGAACTGAGTGATTTAAAGACATTTATCTTATGAAGATAAGAAAATAAAATGCTTAATTATAGTGACTTTCAAAAGTAGTCATTTGACAATTTAAATTACAACATTTTCATATTGTTTTCATTATGAAAATGTCAAAATCAATTCAGTCCAATGATTGTGTGTGTGCACATGGGGGGTCTGTAATAATTCCATGTGTTTTGTGTTCAGGAAATGCAAATCTGGGTAATCTACACAAAGATCGCTTTACTGGCAAATGGCTGCTGGAAAATAATCTACAACCACCAGGGTTCCTTCTTATTGATCTGCATTTGAGACTAAACACAAATGGACAGAAAGACAGACAAGCAGTGAGACACAACGCCACTGTAAAGCTTTATAATTTTTATTTGTTCTCATGATTTTACAAATATGATACTTCTGCAATTCAACTTTAACTGTGCAACACAATGGCATCATGGACTGTTAAACTCGACATGCCGAGGGTTGTCTGTCTGATACTCCAGGGGCTGTGAATCCTGCCGGCCTTCTGTTGTTGTTTTTTTTTTGTTTTTTTTTTCACTTTTGTGGAACAAAAGTCAGGCTGTGCAGTGAATGACGAGTGGTACATTTTTTTCCCATTTTTCCTCACTGCTCCCACACATTATGGTTCTTTGTCTGCATGGTTCTGCAGCATTGCACACAAAAGGGCCTCTGAATCCACTATCCACCACATGAAGGCTACTGACAGGGGGAGGAAAACCGTCTTCCCCTTCCCTTCTATTCTCACCCAACGAGTCAGAGACGACTCCTTGGACGTGGGCTTGAAGTAAAGTTGTACAGTCTCTTTGGATGAGGCTGGTGTTACCTGGTCTTTAAAGAATGGGTGAAGTCGCCACACAGGGTTTTTGGGACACCAGTACAGATAAGAACAATGGCATGCAAGACTCACATACAGTCCCACTTGTTAATATTTCTCTTTTTTAATAGAAAATAAAGATTTTGACGTAAGTACAAGCACTGAGCTCTCGCAAACACCCGGCGTCTGAGCGTAGTGGAAACAGCGTGGAGGAAATGACGCTATGTGGAGCTTGCGACGGCTAAAACCATTTCAACACAACAGCTGGCTTCTTTTCATATTCAGCATGTCCTGTTTTTTTCTTTTTTCTTTCTTTTAGGACATAATACATCTCACATTTATATTATTTCTTCTTCTACACCTTTATACTACAAATGTATGTGCTTTTAAGTCAAAGAAAATGGAAAACAGAAAAAAAAAGGTTTGTAGTTCAAAGTCCATCTGACTCACTCTGGCCAGATTATTGCAACTGATGTTGACCTATCCTCCCAGCAGCAACACACACCTTAATATGGCACGAGTGTCTTAGAAATGACTTAAATGCATCACTGGCCCAACCATCAGAGGCCACGTCATTACTGATTCAGTCTTTTCATTTATTGCATTTGTCTAGTTTAAAGTAAAGTTTGGCCGCTAGAGGGCACTAGGTACCAGTCTGAAAGCACGGGATGAAGGTAGTTGTGTGTGTTGATGTCAGGTGTTGCACCAGGAAATAGTGTTTAAGGTTTAGTTGTTCGTTTCAACGGAGCAAAGGAGACAATGCGTTTGCTTATTCTGAAAAGTAAAACTGAAAAGTAAACCAAATGGAAAACAATGTCTTCTTTTGCCTGAGTGCAACCAAAATCAATCGCTGAACTTGTGGCCTCTTTTATGTGAGTGTTAAGTTTTCCAAAGGCTGGAGGTTTTTTTTTGTTTGTTTTACTTTTTGTTTTTCTTTACATGAAAGGCCACTTCCGACACTGATACCTTAAAGAATTAAGATATTTTCAATAGTCTTTTTTTCTTTTCTTGTTCTACCATGCACTCTCTCAAAAACTTTCTGGACCCATTTGTACCAACCACCCCAAAAACAAATTAAGTAAACATTTGTCAAATTCTTTATGAACACTGCAAACCATTAATGTCACAAAAAAAACCTTCTTAAATTCGTGACAATACCTGAAGAAAAAGGCTTCAAGAAACAGACCAATGTCCAAGTCAGGATCTTTGTCTTTTCTTTTTCACTTCAGTGCCAGATCCTAAAAAGACACTGACCAAATGTATGTAGTGACTAAACTCATCCCCTTCATGTAAAGCCTCTGTCTCATAATAAGTGGCGCAAAACATGTCAGATAATAATCTGCCCATTAAAGAACAATAAATTTAAAGCACTTCTGGGACGTTCTGTTTGCTGTGACTTAGCGCGTCACTTTTAGACGTTTCATGTGCTTATCTTAGTGATTAAATGTCAGCTTTGGCACGCTCCCTGCTGAGGTACCTAACTCAAAGTTCTGTCAGGAGTATTTTTTTTTTCCAACATGAAGACATTCTTCTACAGCCCTTTGTTATCTCCGAGGCTGCAGTAAATGAAAATCCTGAATGAATGCCACTTGTCGGCCAAATCTAACTGCTCCTTTACTTGTTGGTTTGAAGTAAGGGCGAACTGGTTAAATGTAACGAAATGAGACAAAAATAAAAGTGGCGGTTTGGTAATGTAACTCAAAACTCTCAGAATACAAAAACATTCCATCACCTTTTCCAGTCCTTAGTCACATAAAGAAAAGAAATATGAAAGGGAAGGATATACTCAGAATAGTGGTTGTTTTACAATAGAGACTACTTCGAGAGTTTAAACTGGACTTCTCAGTTCGTCGTGTCGTAACTTTCCTCCTCCTGCCTCTTCTCTTCAAACAGAGCTGATCATACGCTACCTGATCAAAGTCTTGGCTCTTCTCTTCTCCTAACCCTTTTCCATCACACGCTCCTCTCAGATGATTCGGTGGTAGTTCAGTCAGCGTAGTGCATGATGGATTCCACGTAGTTTCCAGGGAAGAGCCCCGTTGTGCCGTTCATCACCCCCTCGTACCAGCCGTCATCGTTCTTCTTGATCACATAAATGATGGCGCCCTCTTGGAATGAAAGCTCGTCTTCCTTGTCCCGAGCATAGTCATAGATTGCCACCACTGAGGGGGAAAAGTGGAAAGGTTACTGTTGGGAATTTGAGGATAATCTTTTTCCATGCTCCTGCTCCTTTTGTTCAGTTTGAACATCAGAATACCCCTCTGGAGTCAATGAAGAGGTTTTGCACTGACATTTTCAACATATCTTGTCTTTCTTTACAGACTGTCACTTTCTAACCCTGGACCAGTCAAGTACACATATTTATTCCTTTTTTATAGTCCATATAGTTTATAATCTATATTTTTATATTTATATATATATCTGTGCACCATGAGCAGAAGAATGACCATCAACTCGAGTTAAGTTTTTGACCCAGAAAAAGATGGCAGACCTTTTTCTAGATAACTGCGCGGGGCCCATGGTGGATCCTCTTCGGCGTAGGGGTCGCTGTATTCCACCACTGCAGACTCCTCTTCATCGTCCTCATCATCGTAGTCCTCCGGGGGAGGCGGGGGAGGTGTGGACTCCTCAAACACTGGCTCTTCTGTTGGAGGAGGTGGGGGCGGCACGTCTGAGACTATAGGCAGGGAAAATATATAAAAACATATGAAGGTCTTAAAAAGGAGCTGATGATTTCATTAACTAGGGAGGGACGATATCATAGATGATAGGAAAGAAACAGAGGCAAAACATGCTCCATGCACAAAGGGCTGAGGACAAAAATAAAAAGAGAATCTGTTTTCTTTTTCTCAAAGTGCTTCCATAGAGACCAAGAAAGATGTGACTCAATTAATAGATCAGTGGATGAGGGAGCTACCAGTACAGAAATTCATACTGTTGGAGTTTTTTGTTTGGAAATTAATAGTTTGTTAAATCAAGTTCTCTGTATGAAAACACTCTATGGTTTGATGGGTGATAATTTGCTCCAAGAACAGAAAGTCCACAAATAGATTTGACATACATTAATAAAAAAAAACATGCATCATTATATCATGTTTTTGTTTCACCTTCACAGAATATACAGTTTAGAAGTTTAAAAAAAAGACAACAGCACATAGAAGAAACTACAACACCTTCTCTAAGATTTAAATAATGATAATTTAGAATAAGCTGAGGTTGAGGATAAATCTTCCAAGTACTCATGCACCAAATATTTCCAGAGTCAGACAGATCTGAGGTTAACGGCGGAACATGCGTAGAGGGCGAGGAGCAAGAAACCACTTACTCGTCTCCTGAACACGGGCCACAAAGCCCATCAGAGGCAGCTGAGGGGTGATCTGCATGGAGGGGGGAGGAGGAGCGAGGGGGACTGCTTTCACCCAAACAAAAATATTAAATAAAAAGAATTAAAAATTATAATAAAAAACAAAATGCGGACAAAGAAACAGAGGTGGTGCAGGCGAGAGTTAAAAGAGCAAAGACAAGAAAGAACCTGATCAGAATAAACATTTGAAAAAGCAACAGGAGGTTAATAATTAAAAAAAAAAAAACAGAAATAGTAATGTCACAAAGAAGAACGATTGGACAGTGATTTCAGCCCAGTACAGACCTGAAATACACAAGACTACTGGGTTTAGTTTTATATTAAAAAAAATATAATAGAAAGATTTAAATGTGAGTGTGTGTGTATATATATGTACTAATTAATATATATACACACACACACACACACACAATCTTTACAACATGATGCAGAAATGCTAACATGCTAACAGCACAATAACGGCAACATACACTAGTGTAGCAGCAAGAAAAACACTGTCAAACTGCTTTCTCAGATGCAAAACCTGGAGGTAATTGTGGTTTTATGGCCTAGCGTGTACAGACGTACCTTGGTTCTGGACAAAGTGTGGCCCACCATTGAGCTGGCTCTGGTTGTGGGTCATGCTGGGCTGACTGGTGACAGACGACGGTCGACGGTATGGCAAGGAGCCTCCCACCTGTTGGCTCTGTGGCTGCTGCACAGGGCGGTTCATGCTGTAGAACTGAGAACCTGAGGGGAGATCAGCAGGGGGCAGCAAAGTGTTATCACTCAAAACAGCAGGAAGACTTTGGACTGGATTTAACTAGAATCCAGATTTATTAAAAAAAAATCTCTTTTCATGGACTGTATAATTAAAATAAAATGTATAAATAAAATATAGCAGAGCTTCCATATCATATTTTTGTATGACCCTGGTTCCAAATAACATCAGCATTTTGCTACATATTAACTGTATATACAATAAAAATCAAAGTAGCACTGAAATAAATACAAGAAGTAATAAAATAATACACATAAAAGACACATTCCCTGCAAATACTTTTTAGCATTAGACTTGGTCATTAAAGATGAACACAGGGAGATGACGAGATCTGTGACAAATGACTGGTGATTCCATGAGCAGCAGCAGCACAATAACCGGAGTGATGTATGTTGATAATTTTCATAAAACAAACACTAAGTATGAAACATACTTAATAATAGAATTTGTCATATATTAAGTTGATAAAAGTTCACGTTTATTAAAAAAATACAAATAACACCTCTAATCAAATATACATATAGATGCAACATGGATAAACCCTAAAACACCTCACACTGCTGTGTATTTCCGATTTGCTATGTAATTTCAGTGTCCTATTCAGTCTTTTTATTGGCTAGAGCTCATTTGAGTTAGTCAACCATCAGGGCGGTGTGTCTTAGGTAAACACAATGCTCCACAAGCCTTAATAATACCACTGTCATTTATGGGTGATGATACAACAGCACATGACCAAATCTGGGTGGAGGAGGCAGGAATGAAGGTGTGCAAAGAACTGGGTGAGCTTCTCCCACTAAGTCACACTCACCTTGTGCAGGGTTGCCAAAAGTAGCAGGGCCTGTGCCAGAGGGGTTTGTGGTAGCAGGGAGCTGGGGAAGGGGCGGAGGTACAGGCGGGATCTCTACGGGGTTAGAGACCTGTTGGGGGCTGTCTAGGGCTGAGTTAGGTGGCCCAGGAGTAGTGGCAGTAGTGGAGGTGTTGGGGGAAGGTTTGGCCGTGTTAGACGGGGTTGGGGCAGAACCTGCGGTGTTTACAGGTCAGGGGTGTGCAGAAGAAAAAAAATACAGAAAGAGAGAAGTGATGGTTGAAGGAGTCAAGTCAAGATTAGTATAGAGAAAGAGAGGTATGGTAGCAGATTCAGGGTTTCACACATTACTGCTCAGAAAGACAGATCTTGTGTATGCAGTACAGAGATTAGTCTAGTTAGTTGATTTAGACAATCACTTTATGCAGGAAAAAAAGAAAGCGGAGGTTACCTGGGAAGGCAGAAGGTGGTGCCGGTGTGGGCACAGCTATTGGAACTCCCACGCTGCCACTGCCGCTGTTCTCTCGGCTGCTGCTGCGACTGCTACTGGGATGGCTGCCACCACTGCTGCCACTGCTGATGGTAGGGTAGCAAACAACTCACTCACATTGTCACACACTTAATACATTTAGACAATGTGTCTAAATGTTTGTATTTCTTCAGGAAAGGAAAGGCATATATAATTAAATACTGTATTTTAACAAGCTGGCCTTCTAACAGGAGTGTTTTATATCCACTGTATTTCACTGCTCAGTCAGAGTTAAGACCATTGTGTCATTCAAGGGCACAGGAAAAGGGTAAGGAAATAGGAAATGATAAATGTCATCATCCTGGTATATGGTCCTGCAAAACAGACAGCTAAAAAAATAACTTACTGATTTTATTAAACTTAATGTGATTTAACCCTGTCATGTACCATTTCTTGACTTCTAAGATTAATTCAAAAATAATAACGTGGTGACTCATGAGCACCGATGTGTTAATGTGAGCCCTGGTGCCTTGGAATTGACCACGCCCCAATGATTATAATAAAACAGAAAGAAGCCCCACCGAGGACATATAACACAAGGTGACACTGAAGCGCCTCAAAACAAAGACAGAGATATGACGGTACAAAAAGCAGAAAGCATCACATGTAGTAGACTTTTCCTTGGACAGAAGGAAAGGCTGTGAAGGATGAACTGTAAATGGGGTGGATCAGATAAAGATTTGTGCTGAGAGGGGAGTCGAGTAAAGTCGTGAGGCCTATTATCAGGCCTATGTTAACATCTACATATTAGAATGGGAGAAGGATGATAGTCTAGATGCTCTAGACTTGTTCAGAAGATTTAAAAATGTATGATAAAATAGTGAGATTAGGGGAAAACAATGTAGTAGAAGTAACAACACGTTTTAATAATATTTCACAGGAAAGAGTTTAAGATGCTGGCTCATTTTTTTGTTGCATGACAGCAGAAGAAAAAGGGGTAGAAGTAGAATAAAGGGAGGGGCTTGTTCGAGTGGAGCGGCATGCTGGGAACAGGGAACGGGGTACCTGTATGTGCGGTTCCTCTGATTAACGGATGCAGTGCGTGCAGGGCTCTGCTGGGGGAGCGTCATGTTGCGCGTCGGACTTGAGACGTAGTCATTAGGGACAACGGGCGGACGCACCGGCTCGAGCGTCCTATAAGGGGAATGGCGCCTGCGAGAGGGTCAGGAGGACAAGAGTCGAGGAGGTTGGGAGGGGGTTAGTGGGACATCCACACAGATGTGTGAGAGGGGGGAGGAGAGGAGAAGAGCAAGAAACAAACAAGTGCAAACTTAAAAATTTGGGAATAACAGGTGGTGAGCATCGGGGGCTAGTTGGGGTCCACATGTGCTGTCGAACAGGCGAGGTTAGGATAAAATTGTTGTGGCTGCCGAGGCCTCTAAACCACTTATACAAACAAGTTTTTTGTTGTCATGATAAGGTAACAGTTAGGTTCGGAGCCCATTGCAGATTTTGGATGGAAAGGCATTTACTTTTCATGAAGTGAGCCTCATGCTAAGGTTATTCCTACCATAATATATAGGCTAAGAGACACGACCCTGCTAACTCAAAGAAAGGGAAGATGATCTTTAAGGGGACAGAAGCAATAAACTGGTGAGATCCTTGTGGGTAGTGGGAGATGGGAATTGGTTCATTAATCTGTATCCTGAATAATTTGAATTGCTTGTAATTTCTCAACTGATACTGTACAGAGGGACGACCCATCTCTGAGCACTGCTGTTGTGGCAAACCGTTGGTTTGAGGAATATGGGGCAGCCAGAAGTGGGTGGATTTGGTCACAAAAAAAAAAAAAAACGATGAACAGAAAGTAACACAAAAGAACCAATGAAATCAAAATCACAAGTCACACTTCTGCTCGTAGCCAGAGGCTGCAGCAGAAAGAGCATCATGGAGAGCTGGAGTTGTGGTTGATCATGAGTTCTGAAGAGACAGCCACACTGAAACACACCTTATCAATTAAGACATGAACCAAATTACCAGCTCAAGGACAGACTTTGGGGGCAATGGAAAAGGACCACATTGATTACATAAACACATTTTCTCTCCCCAAGAAACACAAACAAGATTTGACACCCAGAAAGATCATATGGGTGACGAGGACACAGCAAAATGTGATGCACTAAACAACTTCAGTCAACACACAGGACTCAAAATATTATATAAACATCACACAAATTCAAGCCCACTTACGAAAACATTTATAACCTAAAATAAATAATTTATAAAAGTCATCTGCAGAAAATCTACTCTCTTTCTAAATTTGCTTCTTTTTCTTTCTTTTGCATGAGACCAAAGAACTGAGTTTGTTTTATTTTTTTGCAGGTTGCAAACAGAAATACAATGTATAGGACTAAAGTGTTTGGGTATTTCTTTTAGTTGAAATTGGAACACTGATTTGCTTGTAGAATGTCATAACACAATTTTGTTAGACACAACAACTTGAAGCTTTTGTGTTTGTTTGACTGTATCTTGTACCAAAAAAGCATGTTGGACAAGATTTATACTGTCACTAACCTGTCAAGTATTTACTGTGTCCCTATTTTATTTTATGCTCTATGTGTCATGGTGTGTGCTGCAGATTGAAGACTCTCTGCTGCTCAAGGCAGAAATGAGATGCAAAAAAATATGTGTCATGGTGTGTGCTGCAGATTGGATTGAATTGAATTGAACTGTGGAGCTTTAGGTAAAAAAAAGTCTTTTCCAGCATAGCCAAAATGCAATGACCACAGTGATGGAAACTCCAACTGAAATTCATCAACCAGAAGACATGAATCTATTCGAATGACTAAACATACATTGTGCTAATGACGAAGTCTTCCTCCTACATCCACCAGAACATGCATCAAGGTGCTGGCACAGTTAACATACCCAAGAGTCCCTTTGCCTGTTATGGGTGGGCTGGGAGGCTTCTGTGTGGGTGGGTTAGTGCGAGGGAGTCCACCTCCTCCAGTCTTCATATTCTGAGCACTGGCCTGTAGTAGGAGGACACAGTGAGGGATCATTTCTTGTTTTACTATAGTTCATTTCCAAAATAAAAGAGAGAAAAATGACTATACACTACAAAAATCAGAACATGTATCTACCTTTAAACAATAAAGTTGTCATTTTGACATGGGAAGAAGAAACAATCAATACATCTCTCACATCTGTCAGTTTAACCTACAGATGTTTCATGATTGGCTCATATAGACTGCAGTGAGCAGTGAAAGTTGTATTGATTTCACTCATGAAAAGAATTTAACAGCAAACAAAAGACACAAACTTATACAGTACAGAATCAAGTACAGGAATTGATGCAGGGAGGAATCAAGCCATTCAGAAACACACATTATCACCCGCTTAGTCTAAACTCAATGTTCCAACAACTTACCTTAAACCTTTGCAACCACTAGGAAAGGTTACAAAGACAAAAGAGTTACGAAAGCATACGAAGAGAGGAGAGATCAGAAGATTAGTGCGAGAAGGAAGATAGAAAAACAACATCCATTCATGCATAGGGTTCATAGAACCAGGCTTGTTACGATTCAAGAAACAATGGTCCAGTGTTAAATATGAGGAAGTTGCATTCTTTTAATCCCTCAGAGAAACATCCCTGTCTTTGTTCAAAAGCTTAAATAGGAAACTGGCTTTCTAGAAGCAGCCACCTCGTTAATTTTTATTTGTCAGAATCACAGCTGGAGAGAAACTTCTGAGTCTTGTCCAGGTACTGTTTCGAAAACAGAAGTTATATTTAGCTGAATTTTTGTCCAGGGTGACATTTCTGAGCCCAGCAAAAGGCCTCTGTCATTGATTTTTCTCTAATGTTACCTGTCACTGAAACCCACAAATGGCTGTTTGACCTCTACGAATCCATTACAGTCAATATTCAGCAGAAAAAGCCCACAATAAACCAATTTGACAATTTGAGCGGTCATTATTGTATTTTGAACATTCTAGGGACAAAGTAAAAGATGGGAGGAGGGAAAAACAAATGCCTACCTTCACTCCATGACCCATGTCGTCCAATAGGCTGTAGTCAATGGGTTTGCGGATGTAGCGGACAGGCCTCTCTTGATTGGCTGGGGCAATGATCTTGTGTGTGCGGGAAGTGTTCTTGTTGGTGGTTAGAATGCCAATCTCCCGCCGCGCTACCTTCTCTTTGTGAATGTCCACCGTCTGGAGATAAGAAGAAAATGTTTTCTTTTTTTCACGTTGATATTGCAGTTTACTTTCTTACCACTATGTTCATTTAACTGTTTTGACTGTTTCACATTCCCTGTTCTTTTGAATATCCTTTCAAATAGTCAAAAACACATTGTTGAAAAATTATTTTAGTCTCTTAATCAATAACACAATCATTTATACAGTATGTACATCAAGGCCAAATGTACATAATACATGGTGTATCAAATTGGAAATGGAGTTGACAGATAGAACTGACTTTTCTGTTTTAGTGGAGAAACCAATGGTTTTAGCTTCACATGTTGTTTCTGACCTGTGAGATGTGGTTTATGGAGGACTCCATGCGGCGGAGTTGGGAGGCCTGGATGTCCAGCATCTGCAGGACATTGTTGGCAAGTGTGTTGATCAAGTAAGCTACGCTGGCCAGAGACTGGGTTGTGTAGTTCTTGGTCTCCTCCAGTGCCCTCTGCTTGTCTGGAGACTGAAGGAGAAAAGAAATTAGTGACATCTGTGGCACAGACATAAAAAAGGAAACAAATGCCTCAAATACTTCTGTGCCAAAACCACCGACAGGAAACTATGAAACAATTAAAAAAAAAAAATAGTATAAGAAAGGGCAACTGCTACATTTAGGATAACTTATGGCACAGATGCAGTGGTAGTGAAAGAGAAAAGCTACTGGTCGAGCTGTGGGCAGAGCACATTTTGACTGGAACATCAAACAGCAGATGGATCAGCTAATGTTCCTGCTTCCAAACTGCTTCTTTTCTTTTACTAATAACACAGAACAGTGTTTTGCTTAGTTAGCGTTTAGTAAATATGCAAATATATCAATTATAGTTGATGTTAAAGCATTTTATTTAAAAAAAATCAAAACCAAATGATGTCCCTGCTCCTAGATTTTATTAGATTTAATATCCTTGTTGTTTTATCTTGATCTTTTGTACTATGTACAAATAGAACTTGCTGTATGTGCTGTAATAAATACTAAAAACCATAATAAGTTGCAGCCTGAAACAAATCTATGAAGCAGATGTCTCACATCAGCACTCAATTTTCATGACCATAACTTAGCTGCAGTAGCTTTTGAGTCCTGATTGAACACTGACTGCGTCATTTCATTTGAAAGTAAATCCACGGTTAAGCTTCACCAGCCACAAACCAAAAAGGGTTAAAAGAAGGACTGACAATATGCCTGTTTGTAAATCAGTTCAATTCGTAAATCTCCCATAGCATTACACAAATAAGATACCGTACTGCAGTGATGTGAGCTACTTTACTGTTCCCTGACATACACGCAACAGCTTCTGAAACTAATTTGAGGCAGCTGCAGTCAGGAAAGTCAATACATTATGTGCAGAATTCTTATCTGTAAAAATTAAACAGTGTTTGAATAAAATGCAATTATATGGTTTGCTGATTTTACCAAAATCTGCACAGCGCACCATTTTTGAAACTAAATAATCAAGCAACTGAAAATCATCTCCATCATATTCAGCACAACCTAACCTGCAACTGGAATTCCTGTTTGGCATGGGCAGGATTGATATACTTTAGACATTTTATCGTCTCACCAGGATAAAACAAAACGTTATTGCTAAAACGTACACAGACATTTGACCTGGTGATTGTCGATCAACTTACCAATAAATAAACACACTATCTGCCGACTATATGCGATTGGCTATTCTAACTACAACACAACAACATAATAAAAGCAGAATTTATTTGTGAAAAGATGAAAAATACATCATTGGTTCAGTGCCTGATTTGACCACAGCACACTTGTGCAGCCTTGTATGTAAATCTCATCCAAATTTAACATGAGAGGAACCACTGAGCAGGAATCATTTCCCTTGAGGACACATCTGTTGTTTGTTAATGTAGTAATGAATTTGACTTAGAATATGACAAGATGGTGGAGTAATACTTACCATAAACCATTAACGTTTGACATGGCATAAAAACTGATCTGCTGCTGCTTTTCATAGTTGTTTGAGAATATGTCAATTTAAAATTTGAAGAAGCCCAATAAAGGAAACAAAGAGTGTTGACAGTAGTTAAATATGAAACATCAGGAGCAGAAACATGTTTGCTTCCTTTAGTGTGAAACAGAATGTGGGAAGAGTTATGAAACCAGCACAATCTATCTTAATCTTGCATCAGAAAATTTATAAAATAAACTAGTGAACAATTGACAGAGTGGGCAGCAGTGTTGTGGATTTAAGGTTACTAACTGATCTTATATAACTCATTAAAATGGAATGTGATGAGGGGGACAGATAAGCTCAAGGGGTTGCTCAAGGCTTACTAATGTAATGGCTGTCAAAATTAAAGGGTAACTGTGTGTAATTTGTAAAATTAATCAGATTAAAATTCTAATGCATGAATAGAATGGTGCACACTTAGGATGCAACAATTCCACCATCCATCCAACTGTAGTTGCTCTAATAAATACTCCATATGCATTTTGTTATTTACCAAGACTGTGGGAAAAACATTGTATCTTCAGGTCATACACCTTAGCTAGTGTCAGACCAGCCTCACCAAGCAGAGGTGAATAAGTGAATCCATGAAACTTGCTTATTAATTCAGACAATGTGACTGACTAGAATTAATTGTGAGGGAAGGTAGATTGTTTCACTAAAATTGTGAAAGCAACTGTCAACAAGTTAAAAACTCACTGTAAAAGTACACAGTGATGCAAATAATGATATAAATAAATCCACAAACTTTATGAACAAAATTTGAAGTTGTCCTTTTGCAATTTGTCTTGACATTTTTCCATATTTAAGATTCCAACATTTGGTTTAATGCATGTTTAGATGACAGCAACCTCAGCTCACACACAAACTATGGGTAAATACAAGTGTGGAGAAGTTCAAGAATTGCAGCAGTTAGCCCTAAAGCATGCTTAAGGCACAAATTCAACAAGTGAGTAGATCCCCACGTGACTAATGTTACAAGACTTAAAGACACGACAAGGCTGGGTATGGATGTGGATTGAAGCTGAGGAAGAGAGATCAAGTATCCCAATATAAAACCTCTAATGAATAGTGCAGTCTTATTAGTGGTAATACCCACTGGAGAGCAGTCTAGTAAACCTTACAGGGTGAGGAAAAAACCAGGGCAGCTTGCCATCATCCAAGAGCTAAAACTGCCTCCTCCTCCACGGGAAAACCTGTCAGACCTGACCAGCCCTGTTCATTAGGGATGTCAGATTCCAGTTTCACTGTGTCAAAACCTCTCCTAAAATTACTGGAGCTGAAAATATTCTCTCATATGTTATAGATTATTGGAATGTTGAAATTATCATAACCACTGAAAAATGACACCAGGAACGTTTTATTTTAGTTGCAACTCAACTAGGTGTTTTTCAGAAACACACCTTATACAGTCATGGCCAGAATTATTAGCCAAAGCCAGATAGTAAACAATTTAAGAAATGCTGTGTGCCTTCTCCAAGTGGTATCCGGAGACCATTTACTTCAAATAATTCAGGAGATTCTCCATTGTCCACCTACCCCAACTGAAATCCAAGTTAAACCAAAAAAAAAAAAAAAAAAACCCAGATCAAAAGCCTTTAAAACGTTTTCCTTCTGACACACACAGTTATCAGCCTTATCCAAATAGTCCAAACATATTTAGACTGGTTGAGTAATATCTGATGATCCATCATGGGCCTGACTAGTGTTTGCAAGCCAGTAAGAGGAAATGCACTGTTAATTAAAAACCAAAAACAAAAAACAAAAACAAGGTGATATTTTCACTCTATAACTAGCACTGGTCCAATTGTGGGCACTCCTTAAACCAAATTAATACGGTTGTTTTGTAAGTGGAGACCCGGATCATCATTTTGAGCTACTTTATACTTAGGCATGTCTGTGTAGGTTCTCAGTCATCCAGGTCTAACTAACAATTTTTGGCACCAACCAAACCAGTACCAGTTTACAATCACCTACGGGTAAATTTAAATTTAAAACAAATTCTCAGAGAGCATAGATGATAACCTAAGACCACCAAACCCAACCCTGAAGACCCAGTCTATGAAACGCTTCCATGAAAATTATGAACAAAACAATTGACAAAAAGAAATTACAATGAGGTTGAAAACACTGGGACGCCATCCGAAGTACTGGTGTTATCAGCCGGTAGTATCTTAGAACATATCCAATAAAATGCTCTTTAACTATATGTTAAATTCTCAAAACACACAGATACTGGGGTAAGCATCCTTACAATTCAGAATTGAGATGGTCAAGTGGTCTCGGCAAGCAATGACCACTGTTGTTCTTAAAAACATATAGAATATCTTTTTATACATGATGGTACAATGTGTTACAATAACACTTCCAATTGAATGCTATGAATGTTGAAATGATATCCATGTGTTTCAAACACCTATGCATATAGATTATAATAAATTGGCTGTGAAAAGCTCAATGATCGACTTGCTCCTCTACCCACACGACCAGAAATTTATGCAAATCAGCAGCCATTTGTAAAACACGAAAATGCAACGTGACAGATTAATGTGTTACCTTCTCTTCAACACAAAAGTAGAAGAATATCAACACATGTAATTTAATTTTTTGCCTCTGAGACTTGAGTGCATCATTTCATTACGAGGCTGCAGCAGTGACGGTCCCACATCATAAATCAGTGGTTATCTCATGTCAACCAGCGCTCATTAGAGATTAATTTGACTGGTAATCTAGTTCCACATCGACTGGTCGCGATGACAGCAACGTAGGATCGAAAATAGAGCGGAGAAATTAATGTTGAACATACAACTATAGATTTTGGACCCTAGCAGATGCGGGGCTAAAACGCTAACGAAAGCTCACGCCATAGCCTTACATACACGTACAAACCGGTCACACACAGCGTTGTGTCGAAGGGAAACTTGCTCAAGCGCGCTGCTAACACGTCATGACAACAATTATGCGATAAACCGTGTGTTAACATTGTATTAATGCGCTGACATTAGGGTAATTTAGCCTTTTAGCTGATGCTAGGTAGCAACATCGGCAGCATTAGCCACAGTTAGTGCGAGCATCACCGTAGTGTCGCCAAGTATGTGACACAACACCGGGTATTTAAGTAAACTTTTGATTTTTAAATAAGCCTACCTGGACATAGTTGCTCTCGCAGTATTCAGCGACTCGTTCCAAATTCGTAAAACTGTCTAATAGAGCGCTTCGTCCTGCAGGAATTTCTTCTTCCAGAAGCATTTGTAGCTCCGCCATTTTCACATCTTTAGCGGAGCTATGTGTGTAAAACTGCACTGTGTGATGGTGCTCGCTGGCACCGCCACGGCTGTGTAAGGTACTGCAGTGACTCTACCAGCAGGCAGGACCGAAGGCGGTTTGTGTAACTCTAACTCAATAATTTCTAACCTCTATGCCATGTTGCATTAGCGTGCTAGCGTGTTAAATGGTCTGAAAACTATTTCTTATTTCACATGCAGAACAATCAAACACTCCACTAGATGGAAGCCGATGGCTATAAAACAAAAAACAAAAAAACCTGAAGACCTGTTGAGGATGCTTGTTTCTTCAAGTCCTGCATATAATATGCATGGTGTCCAACTTAACCCCTCCTGGTTTAATACTAAGTAAATTGTGAGTATATGAAATATAAATGTATACATAAAGATATTTGTATTCCATTTTATATAGTTCTTGAGACATATTGTTTGGTGGTGTGCCATGTAATTTTTTACTACAGAGCACCTCTAAGCTGCCATCCTTTACCCCTTGATTAACAATGTAAAGAGCACTGATAATATAAACAAATATGGACACACTCAAACGCTTAAATTCACATTTAATCTTATATGAATTTACAAAAAATATAGACAAGTCACAATGTCAAGTTGCTTGTTTTAGTAAAACAAAAATGAAATTTCTGTTTTAGGGCAGTCGTAGGAAATAGTCCAGTGTCATGGTGGTGGAGTAGTAAAAACTAAAAGGTTTAACTTTTCATTGTGACCTGTGAACAAAATTGGAAAATTAAAAAAAAATAGAAAACAAATCTAGAGTGGTTTGAGTTACTGGTTATCAACCAAGTATAACATTTATACTTGGTAAACAGAGTTTCTAACAGTCTGAATTCCTCAAATTGAACAAATACTTTGCTGGTAACTGGATTTGATAGCTTTTGTGTTTTCAGGGCTGACTTTAGCTCCTTTTACTGACAGTAATCCAGTTCTCTTCTTTAGGTGTACAGACCAGTTCCGATTTGACCTCCATGACCTGTCCTTTCAGCTTGTGAAGCTTCAGCTCCCGCACTAATGTGCTGAGCAGCACAGTAGCTACCATGTAGGCAAACCTGTCAAAGAAAACCGATAACAGTCATAAGGTTTTCTTTAGTTTTGCAGAATGTCCAACAATATAAGTTTCAAGTTGAGGATTGTGAGCTCTTCTGTACCTAAGTTCAGGACACGTTTGATTCCCAGAAAATCCTAGGAGACAGAAGCTCTTTTTGACCGATTCCTCTTCAAATCGATCCGGATCAAACCTGAAAATTTTAAGAAACTCTTAGTACAAATTAATCAATAAATCGTTAAAAAAACATTCTATAGCAATTCTTTAGAATATTTAGAATATTCTTGCTTTGAAAACATGCCAAAGATTGTAACAAGCACAATGCAACATGAATCACAATATAATTTACTTTTAAGCATAGTGAAATAAAGGTATACAAATGCCTGACATAACAGAGTCACTTTTGTTTCATACAGCAGTGCCTCTGTGAAGTAGTTTATGTTGCATTAAACTTGTAGTCATATTTTGACAATGTTGAGGCAAAAACAGAGGTTGGTTTTCTGCACCAAAGCTGATGCTACAGTATATTTATGTGCAACTATGTAAACATGTATGATCTGACATAACCTGTATGGGGTGCTCCAGGTGCTGGAATCTTGCAAAACTACTCCCAAAGCGTAAATCACCAAAGTCTGAAAAATTAAACAACAAAAACTTTAAACAGCATTAGAATCAATGATTTCTATAGCACATTTTTTTGCTGAGCATCTGGATGTAGCTGAGCAGAACTGGGCATAAAACCTCCACATACCTCTTTAGGAATGACATGTTGATCAACTTTTCCCTCCACTTCCTGAAGCCGAGCAGCGACTGGAGTCAGTTTCGCAGTTCTCACCGTTTCATTAAGGACCTGCTGACAGTATCTTTAAAAAGACAAGAAGAATGTACTGTATATTCACATATGTGTGAATGTGTTGTAAATAAATTTCTTCAAATCATCTTTACAGCATTATATAGAGTATATAGGACAAAACTGTGACAACACAGTGTCACACTATATAGATTTCTCACCTGAGCTGAGGGATCTTATCCAAAGAAACTGGGTCTGAACCTAACACTTCCTCCAGTTCCTTATATAACTTCTCCTGAACTTCCTCTGAGGTGGACAGGAAGTGAAGAGCCCAAATACACACTGCAAAAATGAGAACATTAACATGTGTACTACGCTACTGCTACTTCTACTGTGGTGTTTGGTTGTTGTTGGTACTTCCCCTACTATACTACTATAAATATCACTAGCACTACTACTGATACCAATGTTGCTGCTACTACTAAGGGCTATTTTTGCTACTTCTGATACTAAGATTTAAACTGTGTCTACTGCTATTATTACTTCTTCAGAACACTGTTTTTTAAAGTTGTCACCTACAGTTGGCAGTGATGACACATCCAGCCAGTGTGAAAACCATGCAGTCCTCCATGATCTGAAACAAACAACCACACTCACTTCAGCAATTCCCCACATCAACCATCTCTCAGATGTTTGAACCACGGTGGACCTTCATCTGTAATCACCTGTCGCTCAGTGAGACGGGACTCAAGGAGCGCATCAACAAATGCCATGCGTTTTTTCTGAGGTTTTCTTTCCTTCACCACTGACAGCAGTAAGGCCTCCATCTCAGAAAGTGCTGACAATGAGAACCGCAAAATAAGTCCAAAGACTTTTACAGAGCCTTTTTACAATAGGATATGCATTAAATCTCCTTTAATCCCTTACCCTTCTCATAGTGTCTTTTCCTACTGGAACTCTTCTCCAGAGAACCATCCAAGAAACCTTTTCCAATTTCTGACCAGATCTAAAAGTGTTCACAGGAGTAAAAATTATTATTACCCATTATTGTTGATGATAATGTTCATAGTGCTTTTACAGAGGTCTTACAGCATCGTGGTTCTTGTGGAAGGAGATGACCACCGAGTCATCTTTGAAGCGTTCTCCCAAAGCGAGCTGTGTGACGGTCTTCATGGCCAGGCCCAGCTGGTGGGCACACAGTGGGATGTGTTGTGCCTCTGGCAAGGACTTCCACTTCCTGACTAGCTCCTCCACTAGCTTATAGACCAAACATAACATCACAGCAAGTGTATCTGACTAATGCAGTGCATTGTCCTGCTTGGCTGTACGCACGCACCTTAACCACAAAAGGAAAGTTGTTCTTCATCGTATTGTTGACGGCAGTCTCATACACTTTTTTTCTAAGTACTGTTTCACTGGCTCCTCCTCCCATCCCTGATTGGTACCCGAGCAGTGACTTGAGCATCGTCTCAAATGAGTCAGCTGTAGAAAAGCAGTGAGAATGTTGAAGTGTGACACAGCTGAAGAATAAAATTCAAGTTTTCCGAAGGGTTTCTGACTCACTGGTGTGGTTGGGGTTGATGTGCTGCTTTAGCTGCTCCACACAGCCCAGACTGACCACTGGACGACCGCCAAACCAAAAGGATGCCACAGATCCAAACTCCTGATGTAGATTCATTAGGAACTCATGTAGACTCCCTTTGCTCACAATGTCCTGCAGATTCCCATCCCTGACACAACAGGCAATCAGGGATCAACAACAAGGGATGTGGAAATAATTTGTTCTGCACATTTGATACATGCAGCGTTCTATTGATTTGTGTATTTGAGTCCAATGTAGGCTCTAGAAGAGAACCTAGAGAGGTGGAGGTTTGCACTAGAAAGAAGAGGAATGAAGGTCAGTCGCAGCAAGACAGAGTACATGTGTGTAAACGAAAGGCAGAACAGTGAAATAGTGAGGCTACAAGGAGCAGAGGTGGTGAAGGTGCAGGAGTTTAGGTACTTAGGATCAACTGTTCAGAGCAGCGGAGACTGTGGAAGAGAGGTGAAGAATAGAGTACAGGCAGGATGGAACAGCTGGAGAAAAGTGTCAGGAGTGATCTGTGACAGAAGAGTGTCAGCTAAGGTGAAGGGAAAGGTTTACAGGACAGTGGTGAGACCAGCCATGATGAGAGGAGGTATATGGATGCAGTGAGGGAGGACATGCAGGTAGTTGGAGTCAGAGTAGAAGATACAGAGAACAGGGAGAGATGGAAATCAATGATTTGCTGTGGCAACCCCTGAAAAAGGGACAAAGCCGAAAGAAGAAGAAAAGTAGGCTCTAACAAAGCTATTCAAAAAACTACTGTATATTTTAAGTCATTTCTTTATAATTTGGGTTTATACTTTGGGTTGTTGTGAGTGTGAATTTTGATAATCTTTTTGACCTTCAGGTTCTGAGCAGAAACTGAATAAAGGATTGTTTCTATTAACCCATTTTACCAGGAGTTTCAACTAAATATACACAGTCTCAAAGAACGACACTTTCATCTTAGGTATTTTGAACCAAGATGGATCTCAGTATGCTAGCAGTACAAGCTTATACTAAAAGGTACACCTTATTAACTTACTTCTCATCTGTGGGGTTAAGGCCTGGGATTCCAGAGGCCGTTCTAGAGGACTGAAAATACAAACAGAAAGGAAATGAGATTAAATTACTTCATTTTAAATACTTTCTACTTTTGTAGGGTGTTTCTAGACCTGAAGAAAAGCATTTTACACATACACCTACAGACAGTATGGTAACCACAGGGGCCACATATAGACTACCAATTCCAGAATCAATCTCACAACCCTTGTCTTACAGAATCTAAGACAACTGCACTACCTACTGAACTCCAGTAACCGAGTATTACCTTTCTGTGCATCTTTATACCTTAACTCTTCTAAGGACTGTAAAGCAACATAGTAAATATATTTTTTAAATACTATGTATATATATACTATATATAAAACTTTTTTCTTTAAAACTCTAAACAATTACTTTTACATATGTAAAACTTAATTTGACTAAATTTAGAAAATTTTGTATTTTCAATTTCACTGTTTAATCATAATTTTCTTTAAAAAATAAAGTAAAATTAAATTATATTATTATATTTTAATACCACCCTAATTTTCATTATTCCCATATTGTTGACATTTTTCTAGACCACTTACATATACTCGGTATTCTGGGTGTTTCTACGTTTTGGCTTATTTTAGTTTAAATAATTTTATTATACCTCTGCGAATAAAGTCAAAATGTTCCATGTGTCCTGCACATTAACTTAGCTTTGCTGGTGAAAGTCGAAAACCTTCCACACTGGTTGTATTATTTACAAAAGTGTACCATAGCAACATGGCCTTTACATAGGGTCACTAAACCTTGATTATAATCTTCATATATATTACAACATATTCTCTAGGTAAAACATTCTAATTTGTGTTTCTTTACTTTCGTACGATCATGTGATGAAAACTATTGAACATTAATATGAGCCTAACAATAGCCGAGCCGCTAAGGTAAACTTTCTTACCGGATACAAATAGAGAACAGCTCCCACTAAAATTATGACAAACGTCACAGCAAAAATAGCAAAATCCAGCATGACTGCAGCTTTGTGACAGTGCTACTGTAACGGATTTAAGTCATAAGAAAAACATGGATGTTTTGCAGCCGTAATTCGTGTCACCACGTATACAAGAACTCGATACTCAGCTACACAGTCTGGACCAACACAAGCAGACTGAGCTAATCGAAAAAGTGGCAAAGATGTTATTTTTTAGCTTTTTAGTTTTCAAAATAATTGACTTGTATTGTGTAATTCTGACTTTTATGCGTTTTAAAAAAAAAGAACTAATATATTCTAAGAAATAAAGTGAAACTCACGTGGAATAGTTCAACTTCCACTTTCAACTTTGTCTATTTTTTTCATATGCAAGTCAGAAATCATATATTATAGTCAGACTTCTGGGCATCACATAAAAATATTTTTATTTTTCTTACATTGTGTAAAAACTAAACACTTTAAATAATTTTTTTTACACATTTTGGCATTTTTCTTTCAATTCTTTTGTTTAGTTTACTATACTTGGAAAACGTAATATTACTCTAATTGTACACAAAGTTATCAATCTCTTCCATGTTACTGAAAAAACCCTGACTCTGACTTCTTTTAAAATATTATTAGTTATGTAGCAATTACATTTGGGCCACTATTTGTATTTATTACCTTTATTATTGTCAACATAATAAATAATGATAGACAATTCATGTGAAGAAGCTTCTAAACAGATCACCCTTTTCTTTTCAATGACGATGATTCTCACTAGTTGATATTTTCAATACATTTTCACACTGGATGTATTCTTAGATCAATTTCTGTTGTCATTTGTTCAGTTACTCATTATCTATCACTTACAAGCCATTAATTAGTAATTAAAATGTAGAATTAACCCTACAAAGTTAATCTATACAACTTTATGGAGCTTGAATCATGGCTGCTTCAATCAGAAAAAAGTACAGTGAACAGACAAATACAAATTCTATACAAAATATATATAAAAAATACAGTGCAAATCTCAGTGCAAATCGACGACAGAGTTGTGGCGTCAGCACAAAGACAGTGTCTTCTCTCAGGCGGTCATTTCAGATTTGTCCGTTAATTTGGGCGGATCGATCTCCATGGTCATCAAGTTAACTAAGGAGAAAAAAAAACATAAAAGGCAATGACATTTAGAAATGTACATCTTTTTTTCTATATTTTAAACATAAAAAAACAAACAAAAATTACTCTCAGTGTAGTCATTCTCAGGCCGTGTGGCAGTCAAGATCCAGGCCAGACCAACAAGCAGCGCCACAACCAGGTTGACAGTCACCCATGGATGAAGGATCAGATGCTCTGAGCCTGACGTCCTGGATTAAAATAAACAGAAACGTGTTTAAATATGGCTTTAGGTTTAAGATAACCAGCACAACAAATGATTTCAAGTGAGCTCACCATATTTGGGATGAATTAAAAGATGGATACAGCCAAATGCGATCTGCTGTCATCTGCTGGCTCAAGCAGAGAACCAGAGAGGAGAAATAAACTACAACAGAGAGGGAAACACAGCACCATTATATTCAAATTGAAATCAGTACACAACACTGCAGTGTTTGGAAATTAGGATGTAATCTGAACTCACAGAACACAGCAAGAGCGAGAGGATGGAGTGTGAGGAACATCCGCAAAGCTACAAAACCTTTGGCCAGATTCACTCTGAAGAGCAGAAAAATTGGTGTAAAATTTTAGGATAACTATTAAGACGAGATTGCTGTTTTTGTTTGACATCTAATTTTGCAGCAGGAGAATTTCTTAACCTGTCAAAGGCAGCCACAGTGCTGATGGCCAGAAGCATGTAGAGCAGGGACTGGTAAGGGTAAGCGAGGGTGTGGTACTGTTCCAACAGGTTGGTGAGGGCACTGAAGTTCTTCCCGGCCCATAAATACAAGACCACTGTATTCCACATGGCAAAACCTGCCAGGAAGCCCTGACAGATGAGACCAAACTCTCTGAGGAACAGCACAGAGAGACAGAGAGACAGAGAGAAGTTAAAAAGGGTAGTTTGTTACTAGCTAAGTAGTCTGCATAATGTCAATGTTAGACAACTACACAAGGAACAAGACTCAGTTTTGTTGCTGATTTCTTTATGATTTCCTTATTTTATTTGGGATGATTTTCTTTTTTAATTTCCACCTAACTGTTGGAATTTTTTCATTCTTTCAAACCTCTCTAAAGCTTAAAAGTTCTAAATAAAGCAAGTATGTTGAGTCAGAAAAAAAAAAACACGAATTCAAGGTTAATTTTGATCCTTAGTTACCTGAACCCTCTGTGCACACTGACAGAAATGTCTCTGGTACTCCTCAGCGACTGCATGTGCTGAAAATCTGTGGTGTTGTCCATCCCCTCACTGGTCGTCCTCCACTCTGTGCGTTCCACTGCCTGAAAACGCTCTGCACACATAAAAAAAAACAAAAACAAAACAAAACCCAAACATTCAAACACACACCCTACCTTTAGAAAGGCTTGACTGATTATTTTCCTTGTTTACTCACTGCTCGTCTCTATAAAGACCTTTCCCACAGACTGGCTTTGACCATGTGGGGCTGAGAACAGGGAATGATGGGAGATGGGAGGAGGGGGGTCAGTGATGATGTCACCCTCTTCAATGCCTTCGAAATCTCCCCGAGGAAGCCGTGACTCAACAACCATTGCTTTCCTAAAATGTAGTAAATGTGTAATTTAGAGAGACACAAACAGATCGATGTGTACAATCATATAATCACACATTCACAGAAAATGCGACTACTTTCTGTTTTTTTCTTTCTTTCAGTGTTTCTCACTTTTTCCTTGCAGGTTTTTTGGCCACTTCTTCACCATCAGTCACCTGCTCTGCAGCATCTCCGTTCACCAGATCAGCCTGGTCATCTTCTAGGTCTAAAAATCACCAACACAAACTTAAATTGTTAAATTGTTTCAAATGTAGTCATCTGGTATATATAGTGGCTCCTGTTTCTGACGATATTTTCCAAGTCTGTGATTACCAATTGTAGCAGTTTTCTTTTTCTTCTTCTTTCTCTGTTGAGCGGCTTCAGCTGTGGGTTTATGGGAAAATGGCCCTACGACCTCAGCTGTCCTCTTGCTGCCCAGTCCTCCCATCTCCATCTTCTGATCTGAAAGTAAAGGTACGGTTTAAATTTTAGAAGTCCAACTCTATATTACTTGGTATCAAATACTTGTCATTTTAAATAATAAATTATGTCACACACCATCCACATCTTCAACTCCACTCTCTTTTTTTACTTTCTTCTTCCTTTGTCTTGCAGCTGCAACATGTGTGTCAATAGACAAAAATAATAATGAAGCTGGAAAAAGATATATTTTGAATACAATCAATCAGGATTTCTATTTATGCCTCACTCACCAGCTGTGTCTTGGCTGTGTGTTACAGAAAACAGATAAGAAGAAAACCTTGCATTAATGCTGTAAATGAAGACTCGCATCACAGTCTCAAATTAATATATTCACCTACCTGGGCATTGGAGGGAGCCTACGCTGCCCTCGCTGCAGAGAAAGATAAAAAGAACATTAAGCCTCAGACACTGAGGTTAAAGCATAACTGATTTGGATTGTATTCCTATTTTTGCATTTAATGTTATTTATAATTTATAATTAATCTAAAGAATAATTAGGGGATATAAATGCAAGGAATGTAACGTCAGTCTTTGAGAAACCTTTATGCCAGTTAATCTGTGGGCAATGTGCTGAAATAAGACAGTGTTATGTTTTTCCCCCAAAACATTATTTAAAAGCAATAAGTACTGAAACCCTTCGTTAGTGTTTTAGTACTAAGCAAGCTATTTGCACAACGAGAACCTGAAAGTAACTGTCCATAACTGAATAGATTTGCTGATTATTCTTATTATTTGTTTTGATAACTTCATTAATAGACAAACATGATGTAACACGATCAACGTGTCCACCGTTATGATTTTTCTGATACAAAATGAATGAATTTCTTAACAGAGAAGACGGTAATGTTTTTACTACATATACTTTTATAATTTTAAGGACTAACCTGAGGACGAGGCGGAAGCTCTCTGGGTCGCATTCCCTTCAAAACAAAAAGGTCGTAGTATTACCGTTATTTCCGAGCTACAACATTTTTCAATTTCTACCTACGTTTGAACATTTTACAGTCTTAAAACAAAAATATGACTTTTAAAGGATAGTTTTGAAAATATATACACACATATATTATACAGAGAACAAAACGGCTTAAAAGTAAACCTTTAAAATGCTGGTTCCACTTAAGAGCGTTATTTGGGATTACCTACCTTTGCCCCCCTTTTGTCCATGTTTAAAAATATTTACAAACACCTTAAAAAATAATGCAGTTTATTAAATGTTAGTTTGCTTTTTCATTAACATATAGGATACAAAACGGCTAACGGTAAGAAAGAAACTACTCTGATCGTCGTAAGCTCTGCGAACGGAAGCAGCTTTCCGGAATGAATTGAGAATCACACCTTCTTCCGGCTTCTTCAAAATAAGGTTCTATGACTAACGGTAGTGTTGACAAAAGAAAAGGCAGCGATGCAACAAGCACATTCAACTTCCGTAGATATCCAAAGAAGACAACTATGTATTATACAACTACGTATATAACGATACACAAAGTTTACATTGAACCAAATACACAAACATTTATTGACATCATGCATTTCTACATCACATTTTCATTTCAAAAATGATTTATTTATTACAATAATATCACAAAATACAATATTTTCAAGAGCCTACTTAAATAATAACAGACGAGAGAGAAAAAAAACGTCTTTAATGTATAATAAAAAATACAGAGCAAGTAACCTCTGAATTGTTACTCAAAAAAATACTATCATAATTTTGGTGCTCCAATAACATTAATTTTTATTGCCTGATTGTTTCCTTTTATGGTTCTGTGGTTGTGGGTCGTATCCAGCGGGCAGGAACCCACTGAGGTTGGTTCTGTGCCTTTCTCACAGCTGACATCAGCTGGTCGAGGGAGTCCTGCAGCTTATCGTTGACAATCACGTGGTCGAAAAACTGCCTAAAATGGGACTCAATCTTTTCAGACAATTCTTCCATTTCCTGGAAGTCTTCGCTCTGTGAATCACAAATATTCATTATTAATTTGATCCAAAAATCTGTAACAAAATGCTTTCACTGGGGTGCTGACTTTGAACGGTCTGTTGATGTAGTAGTTAGTGGTGATGCAGGAATCCTGCCTGGTCTCCTGGAGGCGCTCCAGGGGAGGTGGCTTTACGTAGATGATGTAGGCCTTAAGTTCATGGTTTCTCACTGCGTGAATGGCCTGGACAGAGAAAAGTCATACTGTGAAGTAAATGTAGAGCTGTAAAATTACAACTGTTGTTTAAATTCACTCAGAAGTGTTTTTTTCTTGAGTTGTGCTTAGTTTTATTAAACTTACATTTGGCTCAATGTCAATGAGGCAGATCTTTCCACCCTTTAACACTTCCTTCACAGAATCATAACTGGTACCGTAAAGATTTCCTTTATACTCGCCGTGCTCCAGGAACCTGTGGAGAGTCAGTGCTCCGTATCAAACCCAGTTCACATCCCACTTAACTCGAAAGGACTTGAAAATACTGTAAGTAATTCAACCTTGTACCTATTGTTCTGAACCATGTTGTTGAAAATTTCGCGACTTGTGAAGACATATTCTCTCCCAGACTCCTCGTACTCTTTAGGAGCCCGTGTTGTGTCTGACATTTGGAAAAAATATATATAAAAAATAAATATTTAAGTAAATACACATAAATTCTTAAGTGGAGCTGTACAAGAAATATTATACATATACGTTTGAATTGTTTAAAAAACAAATGTTTTGTTCATTCAATATACTGAAATAAAAGTGCACAATGTACTTCTATTTAATTAATAAAGTTGCGATTAATTGCTCAAAAATGCGAATACTGTTTGAATTTTTTTTTTCCAAAACTAACCGTTGGAAAATATGGGTCCCACGTCATTGACCAATTATGAGGCCTCCATTATTTACCCAAGAAAAAAAAACTAAAAACTAAATGGATACGTACGAGGCAACGCTCCCTGAAAAATGTCGGGATTTGTTTCAATCAGGCGCCTGCGAAGTTCGTTTACACCAACATTAGGAGGACCTGTGAAATAATCACACACTAGATCAGACTGAGCTGCACTTCAGTTGTTGACAAACAATCAGACGCTGTCAAATATGTGGCTTGAACCTAGGAGGGCAATGAGGCGTTGGGTGTCCTGGGTGTGGCGCTGGTAGCGCACCACCTCCTCATAGGGGCTGCAGAGGGCGCTGTGACAGCTGCTGGGACAGCTGCTGGGACAGCGGGTGGGGCAGGTCGGCTGGCTGGTGTTGTGAGAGCGACGCCTGAATAGGCGCATGCTGCGCCTGAAGCCAGCTGTGAAAGATAATTTAGATGATTTAAAAAAAAATCAAGAAATTATAAGGAAATAATAAATAATAAAAAAATCGAGTATTTTTCTCAGTTTAAAGACTTACCTAAATAAATCCCTTTGGTGTTTGTGCTGAAGTCGTCATCCTCTGGTTTTGTAAAAAGAGAAAATTAAAAATCTATTTTTACATCTGTAATTCGGTTCTTGTGTTGCAATCAAACTATAAAACTATACAATTACCATCTGGAAGGAGAACAAGAATCAAATAAAAAAAAAGAGCTAAACAAGATTACAGATTAAGATAACAGGATAATACTAAGGGTTTTCTCACCATCTCTGAACTCCTCTGACACACACACCCATCAGAAAAAAGAAACATTGGTGCGGAAAAAAAAACAACAACAAAGAAATCTTCAGGTAGAGGAAACAAGATGACACAGTGTTTTGTAACAAGTACTGTAACTCTTTAGACTATTTAAGAAAACAAAGACTTACCTACCAGATTCAAAAGCCTCCTCATCTGTCAGAGGGAAGTCCACGAGAACATTATTCACAGAGACAGAGAGAGAGTAAAGACTGAAACTCATGAGGAAGTGAGAAAATGTACCTGCTTCAACACAATTCTCATCGATGGCCATCATGTCTTCCTCTGTTAAAGGAGAATAACCTTTAAATCATTAAAAAAAAAATTGTTTAAATTTTCTTTTAAAATATATATTCTTACCTTCGACGGTGCTCACTGAAGCAGACGTGGATAAAAAGTAAAAAGTCAACATTGAAATGAGAAACGTCTGCTATGGTTTTTATATTTTAATTCACAGTGAAAGGTGAGTTGAGGACGTCTGGCCAAACTTACAGGTTTGAAAGCAGGCTTGTGGCTGATACGGCTGAGACCACCACAACTCCTTCTGCTTCCTGTCCTCACAAGGAGAAGAAAGGTTGGGAATTGTATTTCATTGAGTTAATAGAATGTTACCAAGTTCCTTTTACAGTAAATAATCTAACCAAAGAAGTAAATTTTTTCCAATGAAGAGAAAACAGTCCCATGGAACCTTAGACTCATTAGACCAAAACACATTATTCCACCCACTTCTGTGTGAATTGAATTCATTTTTTTTTTATTCAGGAGACATAGGATATTTTGTTTTAGCTGCATAAGCTCTACTTAAAAAAAAAACTCAACCAGTTCCTGGAACTTTCTCTTGCCTTGTTGCCTTGTTGTTGGCCTTGACTGTCTTGTGAGTCTTTAATGGAACTTTTACACCTTTAGCATTAGCCGGTACTGTACTAATAATAGGTTTGCACTGACTAAACGTACAAGTTATGAAATTAATAAAAAATATTTTTTATCGTTTGTAGGTACAATTGTAAATATTCATCATATTAAACATAAAAGAAGCTTTTCTGACCGTTTGAGCAGGTTGTTGGAGGGGATGAGTCCAGCACAGGCTGCGTGGTCAGGCAGTTTTCTGGCCTGCCACCAAAGGGCATCTGTCTGGTCCACGATCTCCAGTACGTTACCTTTTTGGAAGCTCATGCCAGCATCAGCGCAGGGGATGTAGGGGTCCTGCTGTGGGCTGTAATCGACCAAGGCCCGCACGTAGAGCTAACGGCACACAAGTGTAGAGATGAAACAGAAGATGTTTATATGTCAGAGACAGGAAGGTCAGTAGAAGGTCAGTATGAAGGACGGGGGTTTACCATGGTCTTGTTATGGACTGGTCTCTCTGTCATTGGGATGACCCTGAAGATGATGGTGCCCTGTGACCTGGCCTGCTAAAGAAAGATACAAGTTTCATTTAAGAACAGAAGAACAGGTCAGGTGTTCTGGAGACATTCAACTTACCACAACCTGAATCACTTGTTCAGGTTCCATTCCATCAACAGGAAAACCATTCACCTCTAGGACCCGGTCACCTGTATGGAGCAGACCTACACACACGCACACACACATCATTTTGATGTTTTTTGTTATTGGTTTCAAATGTTTAGTCAGAGCATTTCTTAGGAAACAGACCGTCCAATCATATGGGCTTAGACAATCTCTTCTGTTTTGATAGGAAGGAAAAATACTCCATGTTGATTAGCAGGTATGCGTCATTAGAGAAGCCAAACAAAACAGCCGTGCTTAGCAATAAAGTCATCAAGGTGTCCAGACTGTTTATAGTTTGATTATTTTCATTTGTTTTTAAAGGGCTACTCTGTAAGAAATAGGGACCCCTGGTTGTAAAATTGTACACTCTAATAAAGTATTTACCACTCAATAGTCCAGGGCTGAAATATACATTTAATAGTTTACTGTGAAAAAGGCTCACCACTTCGATCAGCCAGTCCTCCATGAATCACCCGAGCGATAAAAATCTCCCCCGTGCTCTCATTTCTTTTTATAGTCGCTCCCTAGAGCAAAGTTCAAAAACATACAAACAACAACAGACTGAAATGGAAACTTCAAACACACAGAGAACAAGTGACAACCACGAAGGTGATAAAATAAAAAACAATATCAACCTTTTGGACTTTTGTCCAATATTAACTTTTTACCGATATGCCGATATTGTCCAAACACTTAATTTCCGATTCCAATGTCAACCAAATCTGATATAGCGGGTCAGTGGTGGAAGTGGTGTTGCCTGGTTACTAAGGTGATGGTTTAAAACAGTGTTTCTAAAATACTACTAAGCACCTCATTGACTAGATGCTCTAGTGAATCGTTGCTACAGTGAACATGAGGCGGTTTGAGATGAGTATTTGCTTTTAGAGGTTTTTAAAGGGTGAAGAAGAAGGAGGTGAGGCTGAAGAACATCAGGACTGGGGTGGAAAGACCTGGTCCATCTCAGGAGGTAGAAACAAGGGCAGGGATGTCGACATACTCTAAATTCGGTGTGTTCAGTGTTTGCTCTGTAATCTATTACTAACAAACCACTCAAGAGAGCAGGAAAGGAGCTCACCAGAGGCTGTTTGTTTTTGACCAGACAGACAGTCCTCGTGGCCTCCTCATCGTCCGGCAGCTCCTCAGGCATAGGTGGCAGCACTGGCCCGTAGTCTCTGTGGGCCACCGTGTCATGGGCAAAAAGCAGAGCCTGAGACACAAGCAAGTAAGAGAAATGGAATCAGAAAAAAGAAGTTTTCATTCATGATTTCTGAAGTTCTATTTTTCTATTTTTGTTCTGGATGAGTTTATATTTATATAATAATATTTAATATATTTATATTTAATATAATTATATTATACTATTATATTTATACATATATTTAATATAATATTTATGTCTGTGAATAAAATGTAGCTTAGTGGTTCTAGAATATTCAGAATACACCAAATATTAGTGGAACTCATTAAGACTAAATCATATCAAATGCTTTGTTTGTTTTATTCAAGACGTGTCTTTATTTCTCACCTGCATGTGAGGCTTTCGCAGGAGACGATACAACTCTCTGGCCTCTTCAGAGGAGCCGGGCAGTGACCTGATGTCAATCAGCAGCTACAAAGACAAAATAAAAAAAAATTCTTACATGTACAAAAACACAAAACTGCAACAGAAATGAGGAGAAAACATTTTTTTAAATCTGGTAATCAGAGTGGGACCTGAAATGTGAGTCCAGAAGCGAAGTCCAGGAACGGAGCAGGAGAGTCTCTGAGGTACTGTCCCAGACACTCGTACACCTGGAAACATCAAGTCAGTCAAACACTGTGGATCCCACATGCTATCCCACACGAGTGTGTGGGTTGTGACCCATATGGAGTACAACAAAACGGGTGTGATCTGACTTCACTCGATTGAGTTTGTGTTTTGCATATTATAATGTTATACTGTGTCTGGTTTGTCAACCTGTGCCCACGTTGGGTCCATATGAAACTGTGTTGTTAACATTCTAAACTGTCCTACACTTTATTTGTCAGACCTTGAGCAGTGAGTGCAGCCAGGAAGCGTTCAACAAACTGTGGAGGATCTCTGCTCCATCCAGGTCCTGGCTCACCGACTTTCTCACCTCCTCAATCACATCTGTCAGGATCTGACGCAGGCCTACGAAGAACACACGTACATACAGAAACATCATAAAAATGGTTAAAAGTCTCTCTCAGGTTTCTGAATGTTGCAAAATGTGTCGACTGACCTGCTTCTCCAAGTTGACAGTGAGGGATTAGAACCTGAGCCTCCACCGCCTGCTTCATGGTTGATGAACTTTTCACTGAGGAACTGAAAAAAGAGGAAAGAAACTGCAAGAAAAGGAGGAAATTTAGGACATTAAGGAAGACGGAAATTAGAACTCGGTCATTAAATATATGTGCTCTGTATATAAAACAACTACTGACGGAACAGCAAGTTCGTTCAGAGGTGGTGATTACCAGCGGTCAAAGAAGAAGATTCCCTGGCTGCTATTCTTCTAGAACATTCTTTGCTTTAAAAGCAAGCAAAAACATTACCTTTCTGCTGCAGTCCTCAGGATTTCTGCATGCCTCTACACAGAGTGCGAGGACAAAGGACACTGAAATAGGAAAAAGTCTGAACCAGCCAATGTTTCTATAGAGCCAGGAACACACACACACACACAGAGAGACAAACAGACACACACACAGAGAAGGCAGTAATCTCTCCAGATCCCACCTAATCCTGGCCAAGTGAGCTGCCTCTTCACTCACTCCGTCCACACCACAGGCCACTTCCTCGCTCACCTACTGACCAGCTGCAGCCAAGCTGTTAAATCTCCTTAACTCTTTTCAGCCTTTAGTGGCTTGCAGGAGAGACAGAGGGCACGGCATGCACGAAGATGGACAGAAGAGGACCACAGGTGACGTTTGGTCTCATCACAGTTGGCTTGAAACTGGGGATCAGTTCTGACACTGTATATAAAAATGTAATAAAACTAAATATAGTTTCTGGAATGTCACTTGATCGTATTGACGTTGAAGTTTTTTTTTCTTCTTGCCAATAGGATACGGTCATACAGACTGAATTATAATTATTTGCACAGAACTGTCTCAGACTTCACAAACATTGTAGCCATAACATGCCTGAATGATAAAACAGCAAATTAGCGCCCCCCGCAGGATTACTACACAGCAGCTGGAAATATAGTGATGTTTAAAATGGAAAACTGCAAATGAGGAGACATCTTCAACAGCAGTTCAAAGTTTATTGCCCTTCATCAAATAACCTCCATGTATCAGATATACATGTGCGTCATGTCCGTGAGCAGAAACACACACACACACACACCCAAAATGTCAGTTATTTTTAGGCAAACAATACAAACAAAGTTTTTATTGTAAACAGATGAAAACTGTAGTGTTGTCACAGAGTTTCGACCTTAAATCTGACATGACTGCAGGGAAATTAGCTACGGCTAATATGTTAGCGACATGAGTTCATGTGACTAGAGTCAGTTACAGTCGAAACATTTTTCTCATCTGCATCAGTGGGTGAAAAATAAAACACTGATGTTTCCCCCTGTGGAGCAGTAGCAGCAGCATCTCTGTATTAGAAGGAGGTTCAATGGTTGGTCACGTCGACAACAAAAGGTAGAAGAGATCAGATTCTAATAATTAACACAAACAAATTGTTTTGATTACTCATGGAGGGAGAAGAATTTTGCTTCACTGCTTCCAGATTCAGGCACATGTTGGTCTCCGCAGGAACAGACCTCACATGTAGACAGAAGAGCAACGTGATGCAAAAGTAAAGTTTACAATACTGGCATTCTGAGATATTTACTTCACAAGTGAAGATTCAATAAACACTATTTAAGTGCAGCCTTCGGTGGCAGAACATTCATCAGGATACAATGGTTTAAGATTTTACAGAACACTGATCTGAGGACACAGGGAGTTTCAGCTTGTTGATTGTCTCCTCACACTTTGACCATTACTGGAGATTTTCTCCAAGGTAACAATGTCTCAGCATGACTTCAAACAAAGGTTGGAAGCACCTCTTTGAGACACATTAATAGACACATAAACCTGGAACAGATTGTCGAAAGACAGGAAAACATCATGGACGAAGCCATAAAAGTGTGTGTTAGAAAAATGTGAAATCAAACAGTTGCAAGTGAAAATAATCTTCAGAACCAAGTTGTAGTGAATATCTGTTCCGTGTGAACTGTCAGAGTTTTGATGTAGTGTTAAAATGTAAAATCCAATACAGACTTTCTTTCAGTCTTTACAGATCTTTGGTTGTTTCCAATTTCCTTAAATAATCCATAAAGCTCAGGACTAGTCAGTTTGAGAGCCATAACATGTAAAAAGGCTGAAACTAAACAACAACAAATGTGTCATAACTGTAAAAACTTGGAGCTACAGTACAAGTCTCTATACTTCTACAGCATGTGGTGCTGTTTGGGGGATACTTCTCAGCAACGACTCCATCTGTCAGGAGGTGTGTCAGTTCTCAGGAGCTACATTAAAAAAATAAATCACCTTTTGTCACATTTTTTAGGTTTAGACAATAAACAGAGGACGACAAAGACTGGTGAACACAACTGCTTAAAGTATCCACTCCTGTGAGCTGCACTCATCAGTCACCTGCTCCTCTGTAGGCAGCGTGATGTAGAAATCAAACATCAACGACATTTATATTCACAATAAACTAAACCATTCTTCTCAAATCAGAGAAACTACCCACATCAGGTCAACTGATCAAGTACTTTTTGGTAACTTGTCAACAGGAAGTGTCCCTTAATAGGACCTCAGGATCCCGTGCAACACTAAACCGGAATGAACCAGCAGTGAACAACTGCTCGGTCAGATTAAAGGTGCAAAACATGAAAAACTGTGGCGTCCAAGTCCTGATTCTTCATGTGGATTTACAGTAACCGAATGGGGAAAAAAAAACCTTTCTACTCCGTGTGGGACATGAGGTCTGGTATCAAACAGAGGAGACGTCAGGTCCGTTGACTTCAACCAATTTAGAAAATGAAACATGAAATGAACAGGAAGACGGCACAGAATCATGTACCTTCATGACATGACGTGAGATATGAGTATAAGAGCGCATCAATGTGGAATAGAGGATCTTGCTCCTTCAGCACAGCAGCAGGTGGCGCTGCCTACGATCTGTTTACATGGTTTTCCATTTCACAGAGGCCACTGCTCCTGTATGTTATAACCAACCCTGTCTCTTCCCAGAGCTGTTGTGGGCTCAGCAGGATGAACATCACTGAGGACAATTCATGTCTCACTATGTGATCTTCTCATGTTGGATCTGGTAATAACAGGCCTGCAGGGAGAGGAGAGCAAATAATGAGAGTACAGTTAGAACTAGAATAATACAGAATGGTTTTAATGTGAAGAAGAAAAAAAGCCAGAACTTTAGGGTTTGTATAAAACTCTATAATAATGGTATTTGGTTCATAAAGCAGATGATACTTCTTATTAAAGAAGGAAAAAATAAGTGAAGTAAAGTAAAAAAGTAACTAGAGAATCCAGCCTCTGATGGGAGGTTGATAGAACAACTGACTGCTGTGTTCTCTCCATTAGCAAAAGCTACAGAAGTGACGTATGGAGAGTTACGTGATCGATGTTAGACATGAGTGTGACCATGTAGTTCCACCTCTGTTAACGTGATGACTTGTTGAATTTGTTTTATATAAGCATTCTTCAAAAAGCATTTTAGATGTTGTCTCATCATGCTTTGATTCAAAATTGTTGGATTTGTTGAACAATTTCCTTCAAATTAAATTAAATGGCCAATTAAAGAGCATTTCTTCGTTACCTTAAGGGTAGTGAACATGATTCCATGCTCTCCATGCTGGACACACGGATCCATTAGGTCTTCAATGAGGCTGACCTCCGAGCCCAGGTTCCTGATGCTGGAACAGGGAAGTCATACATCCTGATAAGTATTCTGAGTTATTAGATGTCAGTATTTTGGAACATTTTTCTGATGCTGACCGAGCTCGCAGCACGACGTAGAGAAAGACAGGGAAGAGGTCGTCCATGGACCACAGGAAGTCCCGCTTCAGCAGTGACTGGACGTCCTGCGTGATCTCCTCAAAGGTGAGCTGGATCACCTGCAGCTTGTCTGAAGGTGTGAAGGTGGTGCTGCAAACGCACAGAGAGCACAACGTCAAGAACTCAACCATGTTAAAGCACCGATAGAGTGATCCAGTGGTTGAACATTTTAATAGAAGTTGTACCTGATTTGCTGTAGAGTTTCTACTGCAGAGGCAAAGCAGGCATCTTTGGTGTTAGAAAGAACCTGGAGAAAAAACAGGTACAACCACCAGATGGCTTGTTTATCTCTAAGAGTTTTTCACAATAAAATGTCCAGTTTGTCGATGCTCTAATATTTTTGAAGGTTTTTGGAGAATATTTTAGATTTTAAGCAAAACATGATTAAGTACCAATATTTGTTGTTGTGAGTAAATGTACCTGTTGATTTTCTCCTGCTGCTCCAATAGATCCTGGAACAGAAACAGGCCAGAACTTCCTGAGGACAAAGGAGGGATTACTCTAGGTTTAACATTAAAAGCTATATTTTTTCCACCGTGATCCAGTGCAACATACTGCTGGACGCCCAGGAAGGCGAGGAGGGCGAGGTCAGCCTGCTTGTTGAGTCGAAGGACACAATCCCAATACACGCCGTCTTCTTTCTCCTTGTCTCGCGGGTGGAGGGTGGAGTGGGGGGGGGTAGTCAGCAGGACAGGAAGCAGCAGAGCAGATTTACTCACCACTCGGCTGGATGAAAATAAAAAAACAGATGAGGAGTTTGACATGATCATCCAGAAAGTGAAGGCTAATTAAAACCTTCTAAAAGACGTAAATCTGTTTTACCAAGGTTTGGGTGAGTCCAGTGGTGCATCAGTGGAGCCAGGCTCTTCCTGAACCTGATGGACTGGGGTTGGATCTGGAATGAGGCCACCCTCTGCTGGTAGTTCAGGGAACAGAAACCTGCAACAAGTTAAGAATGACAAGATAACTGCATTGACAATATTGGTGGAAACATGAAAATAGTCTGGTAGTCTTCTTGGTATATTACCGTATTCTGAATAATACACATTCTAAAGTGTCTCAAACACTGGGTGGCGCTCTTTTTATTGTAAAACCGCAACCACAGTTTTTAAAACCCATGGGTTAAAGTGCTTAGCTCATCTAACCCTGTCAGCGATGCTAAGGATTTTCATCATCACTTTGATGTAACGGACAAAATGAATGAACTGTGACAGGATCATATTTTTAAAAGAATTATGTACAGTAATGGTGTCATGCAATGTCATGTTTAAATAAAGAGCATGGCCTAACAGCAGAGTCAAGCTATTGACGAGTTGAGAGAGTGAGTTTAGTCCAAATTATTACCTCCCTGGTTAAAAAGTTAACTGTGACTCCTGTCAAGTTACCTGACAATCTGGAAAATACGGTTGAGATAAGACTTGATCTCGTTGACGGCCTGTAGTAGAAGACGGCGGTTGGCACCAACGCCGACGTAGGTCATCCTGTAGACTGCAACCAGGTTCTCCACCAGACGGCCCAGGGGATGAAGGGGGGTGTCACATGCCTGAGGAGAGAAAAGTTTCAATGACTTCTGCGATCAGTGTTCAGTACGTAGACGTCAGACAAAGTTGGCACTCACTTTGATGAGGTAGAGTCGGACGGTATCGTATCTTTCCATAGTGATGGGCCCCACTTGTTGTGGGATAACCTCCAGACTCTCCAGAGTTTTGCTGTGAGTCTTGGAAAAATTCTCTGGACTGGAACAAAAAACACAAATAACGAAGAATGACAGAAAATGACAAAGTTAAACAATGATCAAAACAGTCATTCACCTCTCCTGCATCTGCTGTCGGCTGGTGGTGAGGGTCACTGTGATGTTCTCCCAAGCTTTGCAGGTTTCTCCCTGGCCTGGTGCCTCACAGCCAAGCTGAGTCCAGCACTCCTTGAACACTGCCTGCCACTTGTCCTCTGCACAGACACACAGACGCCCCAGCTTCCTGTATTTAAAAAAAAAAAAAAAAAGAAAATAATAAGCAAAATAATCCTAATTCCTGATATATACTGTGCTAGGTGTAAATTTTTAGCAAAAGGTTTAGTTCACTTGTGCTTGATAACACACCACAGAATCAAATATTTCACAGTAAATTTAAATATTGCCAAATTATAGACAGAAATATTCAACAGTGCCACAATATTAACCAGTATTTGGAAAAACTGTTTAATCGTTTGTCTTACACAGCAGCGTTCTTCTCCTTGTCTGTGTCAAACAGGTGTGGTTTAAAGTAGGATCCCGTCACCTTAAGACCAGAGCCCCATTCACCTCCAAAGGAGCCCTCCAGGTAGTCACCGTTGGCCATGGTCAGCACACCCTGAGAAAAGACAAACGACAGAGATTTACTAAAACTCTGCACTTTAGTAGATTTGGTGAAAACCAAGAAATGTTTTATCCAGGTCCTTAATATCACTAACTAAAGTGCAGCTCTGAACCTAGAGGCCAGAGCCTCCTCCTCTGACTCCATCAATATCAAATCTCTCCTACTCATCACTTAGTGAGACCTTCTGCCATTGAACTTCAGGCCACTTGTAATGTGTGATATACTGTATACCTTCCCATTAAGGGTCCAGTCATCAGAAAATTCTCCTTCGAATGTTGTATCATCCTCTGACAGAAGGATCCCAGTTCCCTAAAAACACAAGCAGCTGCAATGTTATTTACATTTTTCTCTTTTCCTTTTTTGTTGACATTCTGCTAGGGCGGACGATCTCACCATCATCTTATTATCTTTGAACGCTCCTTCATAGTACAATCCAAACTGAGTGACGACCACACCGGTGCCCTGTCGCAGGTTGTCCTGCCATGTTCCCATGTGTTTCTCTCCTCTGGGAAGCAAACAGACGAAGAACTGTAAATCTATCATTGGTCAGAGGCCAACTAAACAGCTCAGAGTGCCTGGAACAATTGGTCCAAGAACAATGGGAGCTGGTTCCTGTCAGAGACTTGGAACTGTTAGGTCTCTAGTTTCACAGTGCATGTGTATGGAAGACAGCATGTGGACAGAAGGATAGAGAAAAGGATGAGACAAAAACAGCCACCACACTGTACACACTGTGACACCATGCTGTCGTAAAAGTACAACAATTTTGGATGAATTTCTGTAGCTAATAATAACAAGGCGAGTGTAAAGCATGTAAAATAAAAATTTCATAACAAGCAGGTTCTACTTATAACCTGCACAGATGCGTTAGAAATATGCTAGATATTGATATTCTGTTGATAAACTGATATTAACTGACTGAGAATACACCTTTTGACAGTAATGGCAAGCGTACTTTGTGATATCGTCAAAAACTCCATATCCAGTCTTCTTGTCCTGCAGCCACTGTCCGATGAAGACACTGGGACAGGAAGTGTTAAGCTTGCCGGTGCGCTGCATGCCGTGGCCGTGACGCATCCCGTCCTGGAAGGAACCGTCATAAATTTCACCGTTGGCGTACCTGCAGAAGTTACAACAATATGAATTTATACTTTCCAGTTGTAAAACAGATTTTTGTTCCACACTGAGACTGTAACAAAAGTGTACTTTCTACTGTACATGCTGACCTGTATGTGCCCAGGCCATGCATCTTGCCTTCTTTCCATTGACCTTCATAGTGATCTTTTTTGTTGAGCGTTTTATTGGTAGCAATGAATTCACCAAAGCTACACAAACAAAGGCAGAATTAAAAAAGGCAATACAATCTAGAAATTTTAGATCTTTTTAAAAGTCACAGCAGGACACTCACCCATCTTCATGTCCGTTTTTGAACTCCCCTGTGTAAATCCGCCCATCTGGCCATTTTAACACTCCCCTGAGAAGGACAGTTGTTATCCCTCACAGTTTATTCTCAACTTTAATCTTTTAGGAAAGTGATGAAAAGACAGACTGTGTGAGTCATACCTGCCGTTTGGTTTGCCTGCGAGCCAGTGACCTTCGTATGTGGCCTCTTTCAAACGACCATCTTTATAAAACGTGTAGGATGCTGTCCTGGAGACTGGAGGCTCCGACTTCAGTCCAGAAGCTGAGCTGTCCTGCTCAGTCTGCCCACTCAGAGCCTGGTCCACAGCCTGGTTGATGGAGCGAAGCCACTTGGCCTAGCCAAAGGAAAAGAAAACAATCAACTGACTGTTGTAATAAGTAGGAAAAACACAAACTGATATGAGTAAATAATAAGTATTTCATGAAACAGTAAATTAGTGTACAACAACAGTTTTTGTTTAAAAAACCTGGTCCATTGCACCCTGCAGCATAAGAGTAAGGACTACAGTCCAGACCCACTACATTATGTAACCTTTTTGACAATTAATTCAATTATAGAGTACACTTCTCCTTAAATGTTACAGACTGCACCATTAATGTGTCAGTGGTATCAAAGGAGGCATACCTTCTCCATGGGTGAGGAGGCCAGCAGGGTAAAGGTCTCCTCCGGTGTGATCACTTTTAAACCATGTCTATAGACACAAACACATGAAGTTCATGAATACTCACAGGAACTTTGTTTTCACTAGACTCCTGTGTGGAAACCGACTAGAACAAAATAGATTGTTTGAACAAAATTGTTCTTGTAAAGTGAAACTCACATGCCAGTGTTCTCCTCTGGAGTAGGCTCCACCCACAGAGTGGTTAACGGGAAGATGTGATGTGTAGAGAACTGAATGAGAAAAACGGAGGAGAAGGATAAATGATTTAAGAGAAAAGGTATGGAAACAGGGAGAGCTGAAGGGGGGATGGCATGATGGGGGAGATAAATGAGACAGAGGAGAAAAAGACAAATAAGACTGAGAAGCAAAAACACACACAGAAGATCCAGAATACCATAAAAACACATTAGTGTGTGTTAATGGAAAGCTGAGGTTTATTTAATAACTAATCAGTTCCTCAATTATTGACAAGAAAATGCCTGGAGTAAATCAAGTGCAGCACATTTGCTTCATGGCTTTATTTAATTTGTATAAGTATTATGAATACGAACATATTCTGCACTATTCAACCACAAGTGGGCAGTGTTAGGTACAAAGCTCCATTTTGACATCACTAATTTCTGGAGACCCTTGAGACATAACAAGCTATCACTTGGGCAGTCATGTGAGCGGAACCGTCAATCAGGACGAAGCCCAGATATTTTTATATGCTGCATTTTATTTGAATTTGATTTATGGTCATGAAATTGAAAGAATACCATTGTTTGAAGTTAATGAAAATAATTTTAATAATAGTAATTATTACAATAATAATTAATTGAAAAATAATTTTATCAGTAATTTTTCTATCAATTGCTATACATTTCAAATGACACCAATTTGAATACCAGATGACCCCACAAGGGTTGCAACGCAGGGTTCAAAAGCACTCTGCTAGATTTATCTTTCCTGGGTTGTAGTTTGCATGAGCAGAACAGGTTTTACTGTAAATGTGTGTCTGTGATGTGTGTGCAATCGCTGAGAAAAGGGCAGGACTCCTCATTACTGTGAAACCTTTAGAAGTTATCCTTCAGAGAAAAACTAAATTGTGAGTAGAACAGAGTTGATATTGTGCTGGTGTAAGAGCTGATGAGTGTGAACTACTGTGTAATTATGGTGGAACAGAGGACGTCAGCTGATGAGGCAGTCCTGCATCTGTCCTGAGGACATGTTACTTCATGCACAGTCAGGATTGGTCCAAATGTTCCATCAGTGTTTCATCAGTTACTGTAGTCTAAGAAGATTTTCACGTGTGACTGGATCGCTCAGGATAGACAGTTAATACCACAAGTCAATGAGTTAAAGGTGAGTGGTGGATCGCACAACTGGGAGGGTGACTCAAATATGCACAACGGCAATTATATTCCAACCATTAATTTTTAGTATTTTAGTATTTTGATTCTGATTTGTTCAATGTAAACTATTTTGTAAATTCAACCAAGTTTGAGAGAGAGAGAAAGTGAACAGAGTCTTACAAGAAATATTCTAGGAGGTTAACTGTCAACACTTTGGTGTGTTGACATTGGGTGTGAAAGGAGCATCCACCAAAGGTACAATCACTTCATGTTGCTGCAGAAATGGTTGGACACTTTGGTCTAATTTAAATGTCTAGAAATTAAATTAGATTCCATTATAATATAGTCAATAAATAAATAAATACTTATGGGGCCTTAATTTGAATCTGCTCCAACTGTACTCTCATTTCACAAACACACACACACACAGAGTGAAAAGAAAACAGGGACAAAGTGTCGGGGGAGGGGGTTGTTTTGCAGACATTTGCATCTGATTGCATACTTACGAAGTTTTTATGAGGTGCCACGCCCTGACAGCACGAAGGCAAGCACACACACACAAATGCTTGAAACATTCCATGTTAACAGCAAAGAAAAAAATAATAGTGACAGAACCCATAAAGAAGTAAAGTAAAGAGTGTGTGTGTGGCCTGACCTGTGCGTGGATCAAGGCGTCGTTGAAAAGGATGAACCAGTTGACAGAAAACCTCCCGGCGTTCTGCAGCGTCAGAGCCTTGTTGCTGCTCTCACAGATGAGCCTACGGTGAGGCTTCCTCAGGGAATCCTGACAACACACAGACACAACATTCAGGGACATGCAACATCACATGACCATCACCTCCCGGCCCTCAGGACAGAGTACAAGGCGCAAGTTATAAAGGAATGCAGGCAGCAATTCACCGTCATTTTGCCAGGGAAGCTCTTCCAGAAGTGAAATGTGTATTCGGCCTCTTTTCGTGTCCTCTTCAGCTGCAGAGCCAAGGCTTCAAACTTAGAGCAGCTCTCCTGTAGCTTCTGGTAGTCACTCGAGAACTGAGAAAACACTGGAGTTACTTACGTGTGGTCAGATTATGTTGGTTTTAATTGTTTAAAATGGTGATACATGCAGGAACGTCAAGACTCTTCTGTTATTTAGAGGTTGATTTTGTCTTTTCTTTTGACCTACCACTTCAAAGCAGGTGCCCAGTTTTAGAAGCAGTCGACTGTATTCATTAAGGTGGTGAGTAGGGAGGTAGAATAGCGCCAACAGGAGGTCGGCCACGGCAGCGTTCTCCTCGCTGCACTCAGAAAGCTTCTGCAGCAGCTCAGGACTCTTTCCAAAGACGTCTCTACAGTTGAAATATGTATGAAGTTACAGCTGTATAATGTGTTTCCAGTTAAGAACAAACTGTTCATTTCTCCAAGATTTGAGGAAAACATTGAGGACAAATGTTTTGCCAAAAAGAAAAGGGGAGCTATATGCCAATTTTTGTTTTTGTGCACTCACAGTGAGGGTTTGGCCAAGGCTTGAGCCCCTCCCACCACTTGGAAGTTTCCCAGAGAGCTGCAGTATCTGGATGAACAGAAAGGAGTCGAGAAGGAAATCAGATCACTGTCTTGTAAACAGTAATTGTTATGTCACAGTACTGATGACCTACTCATTGTATGACTCCAGGAAGATGCTGGTGTAGTCAAGGATGAGCAGATTTTTTACATCTCGCCCACGGCGCAGGTTGGCTGTCAGGCTAGCGGCATGCTGCCCTGACAGGTGACTCAGGAGGCTGAAACGGCTCACCAGCGCCTGCAGGAGGCCGAAGATCACTGGACCAAGAGCTGAGCACAAAGATTCTGGAGAACGACAGATGCACAAACAGAACAAAAGAAGAAAAAGCAAATGTGAAATTCAACACGTTTTACATGTTCTATTATGCCTTCTGTTTTATTTTCCCTTTGTGGCACCCTTACCTAGACCCAGCAGGGGGCGTATTATCTGTGTTTTGATGCTACTCAGCTTACAGTAGAACTTCCTCTCAGCTGCAGCCAGCTCATGGAGAGTAGCAATGAAGCCCATAACATTCCTGTCAGAGAGCGCCACACATAGGCGACCACCAGCAAACACATTGCTGACGTAACCCAGCTGGAGGATGCAATTTATAGCAAACATTACAATTGGTTTCCCATAAATTCAGCCCTAAAAAAAGAAAATGAAATTGATACTTACATTCATGCAGAAAGGAAGAAGTACGGGCTGCGGTGTGAAACCTCTGGCTCGCTCCTGCTCTTCATCTCCTTCCTCTTGTTGACTCACCTCCCTGGCCTCTCCTTCCTCCTCCTCTCCATCTTTCACCTGCTGGCCGCTGTAGTAAATGATAGGCTGGATGCAGTCGCCATCTGCGAGCAGGAGGGTGTGCTTCATTCCAGCACTGGCGTCCCACACACGAATACCTTCGGACAACTGGACCAAAAACGGGATAAAAGATTCGATGACCAAATGATGGAGTTTAATTTGTGTGTGAAATAAAAGTCCTCTACCTTTGCAAGGTGAGGGAACGTGGTGGGTGACTCCATGTGTCCGAGCTGACCGGAGCTGTTGTTGCCCCATGAATACATCTGGAAGACAAAATACAGAGAGATTAAGCATTTTATAATGATACATTTTAAATTATTACTGGCAAAAATAATGATAATTTTAAACATCACTCATCATCAAACATGTGTCATAAGAAAATTCTTAGAAATCTATTGAAAACTTAAATCTTTGGTGAGATGTTCATCCAAATGTGAAATGCATTAAATAAAACTTCTATAAGAAAAGAAATGAGACAATTTTCCAAATGTAAAACCTTTAAGAGAGCAGATCTGAAATGGTTAGCTTCAATATATACTGTATATGAAGCTGTCAACTGACCTGAGACTGAGCGGTCAGAGCCAGTGAATGGTGAGCACCAGCCGTCACTCGCACCACCTCCTTACTGTTTAGGCTCTTGATGCACAGAGGCTGTGAACTGCATAGACACATGCACATAATGTTAAACAATCTATGTTAAATTCTGAGTCTATTTTGATATTTGATCTTGGTGAAGATAAGGTGAGAACAGGTGGGAGTGGCCGTGAATGTAAGCACCCTTGTGGGATGCAGCTCTTTCTTTTATTATGATAAGTGGACACACAACACAGAGTCAGTAAGTACAGTGGTTCACCATACAAAATATAGAGCTGAAAACTGGTGACCAGAGTCTGGGTGGTTTTATCTAAACATCCAACAATTTGTGTCCTACCGGCCCAGGTTATCTCCATGTCCCAGCTGTCCATGTTCTCCTTGGCCCCAGCTCCACACCTCTGTCTGCAGGGTCGGTAGCATCTCCTGGGCCTCTGGGACTGCTCCTCCTAGTGGGGTGAGTGCACCAGCACGCATCCTAGAGCGACCGATTTTTCTAAGCAGCCGTGGGGAAACTGAAATTTACAAAAGAAAAACAAACAAAAATGTTTTACATATATAAATATATCTGTATGTACATATACAGATATGTTTATCTGCACATGTGTATCCTCTAATACATCCACTGGTACAGAGAAGACTTAAAGAAATGTGTTTGCAAGAGCTGAATTCTGTCATTAGACAGTCAAAAAGTCAACAAAACACAACAATGACGTAAATTTGGAGCAAAAAGACAAAATACCCAGAGCAACCACACACAATGACGTTAAACTGTATACGCGCAAGTCGTACTTACGCAGCAAAGTATAGGAGGATGATAAGAGGTGAACAGCGTATCTACCCTGTGACAGGAGTCCCGGCAGTGACAGGCGGCGCTGTGCACTCTCAGCCTCCTCCTCACGGATGTCACCTGTGCTGGAACTCTTCTTGCCCTGCATGAAGTCCTCTTGGTGGACACGTTCAATAGTGTTGTCACCCACCACTGGAATGGAACCGGTGAATCCGACCGGCCTAGACACCCCAGAGGGGAGGTAGTTCATCATCTTTTTAAGGGAGAGGGACTCATAGGTGGAAACAACTCTTTCTCCCACTGCAGTGGCGCATGAGGCCACCAGGTTGTTGAGAGCGGAGCTGGAGGTAGAACCAAAGCCTCCAGCTGAAGACTAAAAAAGAAACAAAGAAATTGTTTAACAATAATTGAACAATAATAATAAAATAATTTACTTTAACAAAGCTGACGTTTCTGAGTTTCTCAAATGTACAGTATGTGGGAAAATCTGTTATGTCTGACCAGTCCAGGTTTACCCCACATCAAAAGTGTTTGTTTTTTCAACACATTAGCATATTTGCATAGATAACTCTAGGTTTACATATACATCAACAAAATAATGTGTCTAATTTGGAATTTTATTGAGGTAAAGTATCTGACACATTTCTAACCAAAAAAAAGTTTTTAACTAAAACAAATTAGTTTATTTTATAAATGGGGTAAGCTGTTCTGTTAATAACTTTCTATTGTCTGTAGATATTACAGTTTGTGTTGCAGGCTTCAAAATTACAAAAAGTGTGAATATATGTAAAAAGGTAATAATTAGTATTTCTATAGTTTTGGAACATACTGAATTGAATTAGGGTTTTGAGGCATTTTAACATAACTGTATTCTCTCTTTATTTACATTTTATGCAAAATCCTGAGAACAAGGGAATTGGGCTTTATAAAAACCTGTGGATAAAACCTTTCTTAAATATGAGCTCCTCTGTGGCCGCTGAGTACTGTGTAGTAAATCTCACCAGCAGACTGTGCAGTCCTCCAGCAGGGGACTTTGCTTCAGTCTGAGAGTTGTCTGTCAGTTTCTTCAGGTAGTCTTTGACAGCCTGCTCATCTGGGTAGAGTGAATTCTTCACCAGTGATACAGCACCACTGCTGCCATTGGTCTCAGCCGTATGGCAAGAGTCAGTGCACGGCACCACTCCGTTAGCTAGGGCCGATTCTTTCTGAATGGGGTTAGAGTTCGAGGGCTCGGCATTTCCATCACGGGCTGAGGAGTCAGAGGTTAATGTGGACGTCTGGGAGGGGAGGATGGGCTCAGATGGAGATGTTTTGAGTCTATGTCCAGAGCCAAGTGCCTCCAATTTACCTTCCTCCTCAGTCACTTCCTGAGCAACGGGGCAACAATGTCCATCTGAGATGATGACGTGGTCCTCTTTATCTGTCATAGTGTACAGCAGCTGGTTACACTGTTTGCACTTGTCCACTGGAGGGCGTCTGTTGTCCTGAGGGCCCAGGCATCTCACCAGAGCCAGGCTGTGTGAGGCCCCGCAGGCCACCTGAAGTACACAACGCCCCACCAATTGTTCAACCTTTTGTGGTTTCCACACAGGATACGTTGTTGCGCCGAGGCCCAGCTGGCACCCACTGCCCCAAGCCCACACCTCTTGGTGGACAGACAGGGCCAGGGTGTGCTGCTCCCCGCAGGCAAGCTCTATGACAGGAACAGACTGGGAGGGGCCGGTGTCTGAGTCCAACAGAGCCACTGGAGTAGGATTGGAGACAGTATTGAGACCCAACAGGCCACACTGTCCTGCACCATTGTCCCCCCACATGTGGATGCCGCCATCTTCTGTCACGGCACCACAGTGGAAACTTCCTGCTGCGACAGCCACTACTCTCTGGCCACAGAGGGAGGTCTCGAGGCTGGGTCCTGCTGAGACTTGATTCTGCTTCCACGGCAGTTCTCCAAAACTGTACACCTGTCCACCTGAAACAGGAGAAATGTGAATGGAGAAATTGTTAATGTGCTTAAAGTGAACACAGGCTAAGTGTTAGCTTAATGATTAAGATAAGATGTCCTTTATTTGTCTAATGGTGTACCAATTCCTAGCAAATTTAGCAAAGTTAAAAAGCCAACAAATATTTATAAAATTTGCTTTTAAATGTATGCAGTATTGTGAAGAAGAAAAGTTTTTTCATACATTTTATGAAATTCAGCACAAAGTGGTGACCTTTGACAACTACTTGCATGCTCCAGTACACAAATAATTATGGAACCTCCTACAAAATTACTTACATGACCTTTTGACAGCCTTTACAGCTTGTGATTGAGAGTGTGATGATGATGTGATTTTCTAAATTTGTTTATGTGTAACAAATATAATTAACCTGATAACCATTTGTTAAAGCATTTGTTTCATTGTTCTGACTGTGAAACTAAAGTTTAACTGCATGTCAAGCAGCTTTTATGGAAATGAAGAGATTTTACAAAGTACTACCTTCCACCAGCAAAACGCCATGCTGTGTACCAAGAGCAACTTGAAGGACTGGTCGTGGTAGGAGGAGCCTGTCAGGGGTGACACTGCAGGAGTAGCCCTTCCAGGTGTGCACTAAGCCACGTTCACCTCCATTATCATCCCCAGAGCTGAGAAAAAAATTATTCAAAAACATCATTACCGCAGTGAAGTTAGTGCAACTCAGACAACAAAGACAAATCAGCATTTGAAAGGAAAAGAAACCCCCACATAGGATTAGATCAAAGACAAAACTGTGCAGAGTAGTTCCTTTAATAATTTATTGAACAAACAAACTTTAAACTTAAGAAAGAAATAGAAAATGGGTCGTCAACCTCAAACATTTGCTTTAAGACACATTGCTGTGGTTCTGTTATGGCCACAACACAAAATATGTCGTGTTTCTCAGCCACAGCTTAGTGCTGTTATGCTGACAGATAACACATAATGTAACTGAAGGTTTTGAATAACGCTAATGTTACTTAGCACCACCACTTTACATTTATGAGACTAATGGAACATAGCCTAATGCTGACAGAGTGGAAAGATGGAAGAAGAAGGTAAAGAAGATCTGAGAAGAGTGAAAATGACAGCCTCAAATAGTCAGCAACAAAAACGGTTTTGTTCTTCAACATGACAGTGACTCTAAGCTAATATTAATTTACTAAAGAACTTCAGCAGAATGACTGAGCTGCTTCATCAATTCCTGAGAAGGAATACTGTGATTCTCTCAAAAACAGTCAATCTTAGCAGAGCTGCTGCTATAATGATATCACAATGAATCATTGGACAATACAGTACATCTTTGTATATCCATACAGCAGGGGTGTTCACACTTTTCGGGCCTGGGAGCTACGATTCAAATGACCAGACTAAAATGATCTACCTACATTAAAAAAGTTTAAATATATATTAAGTCATATAAACTGAACATACTTTATATCTGGGGTCACCAACTAAGTTTGTCAGATGGCCAGATTTTTCTTCCTCTGGGCTGAACACTCAATTAAAATGAAAGAGTATCATATTTTTGTCTAACATTATTATTTCATGTTTAATTTGGAATCCAGTCGTGGGCCGAATCGTGGGGTTCAGTGGGCCCACGGGCCACATATTTTAGATGCTTATGATCTACCCTACTCTGAGCCCTGCAGTACAGAGTACATGACACAAATCTTTACATGGGGAAGTGTATTGGTGCACACACAATATGCCTCGATAAAGTGACAAAATGTTAAAAATATTCAAAGAAAGAACAATGGAAAACAAAGAACAACGTATCCCCCACTAAAACATGGACTGTAGGAATAAACTGTACCACTATCAAGCTGCAAATGTGCATCCAGAGCAAAAAACTGTGGTGATGAATAAATTAAACAAGTTTAGAAAAATTATGAAAATGAACCCTAAGATTTTAGTCCCAAGCTCAAGATAAAGCCAGAGATCGGGGCTAAGTCATTGTCGTCACATGGTGATCACATTCAGCCAAGGGGCTTTGGAATGAGCGAAGCAATGAATTAATCCCTTCCTCTTCTTTTATAAGAAAATATTATATTCTAAAGGACTCACCTCTTCCTCTGGGTTTCCATGAGTACTGGGGGCTTATTCCTCCATCGATGTCACTCCTGTTAACTGTCATTAAAACAAATGAAAAAAAACCTACACAACAGATGGTTAACATCTATCACTTGTCAGCGCTTATAACGCATGTACGCTCAAACCCAAAGTGATACCGAAAAACGCGAAGGGAAAGTATTTCTTATTTTTCATTTTAACATGTTTTAAATTGTAAGGGGCTGCGCACTTTTCAATTGTCATTTGAATAAACCCAATATTTAGAGAGATGAAGCCATCGTCAGCCATGTTAGAAATCCAACAGCAAAAACACTTAAATACACCTCGAAATACTGCTGTCAACGACTTATTTTATGATTATGATTAAAATAACAAGGTGATATACCATACCGAACGGTTGTCGTCACAATGCCGAACAAATTTGCTTGTCCGTTAGTTTTTAAATTCGTGTTGTTTTACCACATCCTCAGCTGTTGTCACACACAGAAGCTGCGTGCTAAGAACTACCAAGATCGTCTATAAGACAGGAGGGGTCACTCAACAGCAAACGACAAGGGTACAATTAATGTGAAATAAATAACTACTCCAGTCAGAAATAATTGTTGATTTTTAAAAGAAAAATTGACTGAGATATATACGTTTCTTGCTGGTTCATTATCCAAAAATAGCCACCCAAGGATCGGCGTCTTTTACGTCGACTTTTATGTTGTATCACCAAAATATCTACTGTTCCACCCTCTTTAAATAATTTAATGGTACCATCAGTTCACCTTCATGCTTTAAAAATGAGTATTATTGGCACTCTCCTTACACTATTATTTTCGTGTGGTGTGTCTGCATACATTTACACATTAAAAGCTCAGAAATAGGCTACAGTGAAACTTATACATAGTGTTACATCTGTACTTTTTGTCCTTTTGGCTCTTTGTTGTGACAGATCGACGGTCTCCTGTAAGGCTCAAAAATACGAAGGATAAAAGGTGTTTTGTGATGTGTTTGATGACTTTCACCCTCTCGTCAAATGTCTTTTGTTTACGTAAAAAAATGTGTACGTTGACTACGTAAAAAATTACGTACTTGGCTATCAAGAAAAGTGTTAAAAATAAAAAAAAATATGATAGATTAAATGTCCATTTATTAAAGTGCTTCATATGTATACATTGCATGCACATTAAAAGTTGACACCAAATCAATTTTTCTTACTTTTGTAACATTAACAAAAAGTAATGTAATCTTTCTTCTGTTATGATGTTTATGAACATTGAAGTAAACATTTATTGGTATATTTTGAAGACCATAAAGCGATATAATATTGATATTCTCCACGTGTTGAGATTCTTTCACTACAACAAACCCAGACTCTTTTTTTCTGTGGCTCCATACCTTTTTTCAATTATAAATAAATACATCCTTGATTAAAACTTTTCTCTGTCCAGAATTCCATCATGTCAAAAATATTGATACTTTCTATGTCTAGATTATTACTAGGTATTTTAAATTATCTAGTTAGACTTAGGGGTTCTAGGGGACTTAGGGGTTCTAGGGGAGTATTTGAACTAATTAACTAACTAATTAGACATTAAGTAAGTAAACCTAAATGTCATAATTTATTTGAATTTTTATCGATCATTAATTGTAGTGAAACCAAAAACTGTTTTTTTTTTAAACCAGTGATTGAATAATACTTGCATTAATGCCTTACTGTCACATCTTTAAAAATACATGTATGCACTACTACAACTGACAGAGGAAGAGGAAACACAACAGCATCACTGTGCCAGGAAAGCTGAGGTTGAACAATGAGTAAAGTTCATTAGAAGTTCTACAAAGTAGATGTGATTTCTAGCTTGACAAAAAACATTTTAAAAACATAATTTAATTAGGACCGATAGTTAGCATAATTACACCATCATCATGAAAAACAAAGAAACCCAACAACAGTTACTTAATGCAGCTTTAATATTGAAACCGCATAGATACAAAACATAGTTTAATGTACAGTGTATGGTTGAAGTACATACATCTTTTAATCTAATTCAGATCATCTTTCTACTGCAATGTTAAGGACTAATCCAACTATTTCCATAGAAGAATGTTGGTGTGGCTACACTTGATTGACTGGTTTCATCAGCGTGCCATCGGAGCTGAGGCAGTGCTGGTGTTAATAAAAACAGTATATACTCACGAAAAATACATTTAAAATAAATGACTTTATGTGACATGAAGAAACTATTACAGTACTGAAATCCATTCTCACAGCAAAGTGATGGATTGAATGAGACTTGGAATCAGTAAAACCTCAACACGAGCGGGAGTTTAACTGTTCCAAGCTTGATTGTGGTCTTGCCAATTTACAGCTGTATCCAAACATCCGAAAGTACAACTCCAAGAGCGACAATCAGGTTTCTACTTTTCCGTACGTTCCATCAGGTGGCCGGTAGTGTTTGGGGAAGGCCTTGAGTTGCAGACAGTTGAAGGCATACTTGCGGCAGCCGACATTCTTCACTGTGTTTTCCCTTCTGCAGCCTTCACTGTGGAGGTAGAGGAAAGGAGAGGGGGAGACAGAAGAGAAGAGAAGAGAAAAGGAAATACAAAGAGACAGAGGAGAAGGAGTTGTCCACAGAAGGGAATGAAAGAAGAAACACAAATGTAGAGAGAATGTCTGGTATGAATAACATTTACCTGGTTTTGATTGAACAAGTTGAAATACTTAAAGAATAATAAAAAACCCTTCAAAACCCAAACCAGAAATGTTTGATTAACTCAAAAAACAATGACAAATTTAACTTATCTGCTAAAAGTAATAGCAGAACACATTTATTTTAAGAAGGCGACTGGTCACTCAAAAAACAAACAAACAAACAAACAAAAAACCAGAAAATTGTGGTACACCTAATGTAACGTCAAGTGAGACAAAGTAACACCAAAATCAAGATAAGCTTCGGCTATGTTAAATAACACAAGGCATACAATGGACCTAAAGTGAATTCTTGGAAGATCCTGTGTATAACATCATTGTATTTATAATGAACTGTATATTAACTAAGCTTCGTCATTCACTTTTCTTCTCCAGGGTCTTTCTTTGATTTAACCCAACTTCATCTTGAAACTAATCAGCCTTTGCTGCTCTCTGATCTGCTCATTTTTAGTCATGTCCATCTGGGTCGAGACTAAAAATTCTTTCTTCAAATAAGCTGCCTCCACTTCAGACGGTCCATTTGAGCAGATCTCAAACCTGTCTTAAAAATGATGTCAATCTTGACGTTATTCATCTGTCCAAGGTCATTTGTAAACATATCAGTTCATGGAACTTTCTGTCTGGCCTCATCTTTTTACTCGTCTGTCACCCCTGCAAACACAAAGAAGCACAGAGCTAACCCCCAGTGTAAACATTCCCCTATATTGAACCCATCTGTCATTCTGGCTGCACACCTCCACAATCTTCCTCATTAATATTAGATACTAGTTACTGTATTTACTCTGCACATCCGTTCCACATCACTATCTTTATAACAGAACTTTCTTTATATCTTCTTGGAATAAAGGCAGCTCTTATCAACCAGCTGCTTTCTGTACCAGTTTTCTCTGTTATTGTCAAAAACTTGTTACACACTGGACCTTTAATGTCATAAAACAAATGCAATCATTTCATCTGAATGTAATAACGTAGGCTGTAATTGCAGTTCACATGGTGCACATCTATACATTTATCCTCATTGTTTGAAGAGTCCATGTACATGCAAACTGTTAGTGTGACTGGTTATGGAAGTTACTGGTTAGGTTATAAACACATATACATAAATATTACACTAATTATACAGATAGTGGTGACAACAGTGTGACTGTTCTGGGACAGCCCTTCTTTTGTTGACATTAATTATATATTAATACTCTGGAATAATATATGGCATATACCGTATATATACTATATCTGTATGTACATTTGATAAATATTAGCATTTAAGCAATGCAAGCATTTAAATACAGTTATGATAAGTTAAATCAGTACAATGTAATATTGGATAAAACTGAATTGAAGTCATAAAATGGCCATAATAGAAGCACATCACTCCAATTAAACACTGATATTCAGGGTAATGACCACAAAAGAATCAAATATTACAGAGATAATTCACCAGGCTTATCAAAACAATGTCTTCCTTAAATTTTGTCAGAATGTGTTCATTACATTTAAATCAAAACCAAGGAGCAACAAATAGGTTACATAAGCATTAATCCAAATACATCCAAATAAAATAGAGGTCAGTAAAGTTAAAGCCTAATGTGCAACACAATGTGCTGAAAAATTAGGGCAGACTTTCTCTTTCTCAATGGGACAGTTTGGAAATCTTTGAGAACCGCTGAGTTTTGGACAATAAACAATAAAATATGACGATTTAATTGCATCCTTTCTATTGTCCTTTTTTTGTTGAGTTTCTGGGCAACGCACCGATTTACAGTGTAGGTTAGAGTATTTTTGCATTGGATTATTTTTGGTAAGAATATATTTTACATCAATATATTTCAAATTTATGTTTATATATAAATAAGACATTAATTAAGTTTTTGGTATAATTGTGTAGAACTGTAAAAATATTTAAATCATCTCGATGTTACAGCCGTCTATGACAAGCAGACCAGGCCGAGATGTCCGACTCTAACTGCTTGTTCACTCGCCTCTGTTACCATCATACTCTGAATATTGTAGTGCTCAGTTTTTTAAATTCTACACATCTATGTATTTCGGTCAGTTTGAGATAGTATAAACAAAACTGGGAGAACACTCAATCTCTCCAAATGTGCTACAAATCTGAATATACCTGAAGAAAACACCAACACTACGTCATTCTTATTATTTTTCATTTTCATTTTTGCAGCTTCACTAAAAAATAAACATCTATCACTGCCTGAGAAATAATTTCTGTAGCGAATGAATTCAACCTGAACGTCACCTGCAGTTGGATGACTACAGTGACCGAACACATTTTTCCCTGAATATCCTATCATATCATACATTCTTATATTAGCTACTAAACCGCGGCTAATGAGCACAAATATCTAACTTTAAATATCTGACTTATTGCAACTGACTGAGGCTCAACTGAAAAAAGTGACACTGCTGTTTTAACCAGTGCAGTAGATATAAAGTAAATAATGATTTGAAATGATCAATTAGACTTTTGGGCCAACATTAGTATGTGTAGTTTTGTGAATATATATATATATGAACGTAAATAAACATATCGGTTTAAGTCATGGAAGACAGCAAAGCTCACCCTATTTGTATTAAAAGTGAGACCTGAGAAATAAAATGTGCAAAATGTTGAAAAACATGTTTGGAAGCCAAAGCATTCTCTCTAAATTTTGGCACCAAATTAAAGCTCCTCTTTCCTTCAGTTAGCCTCCGCAGCATGAGTGCAAATGGATTGCAAATGCATAAGTAAGAGGTCGATGAATCACACTGGCATAGATATTTCTCAAATGCAAAAATAAAGCAGTTTGTACAAAGCTTGAATTAGCAAAGATAGATATTATCAACACCTTTTCCTGTAAGCAAAAAACTATATATTATCTGCCTATATCTATTGATTTTCTTTATTTTATATCATTTTATACATATTTACACATTCGTAACTCAGAGGTAACTTTTATATTCAACTCTTTGAGCACTGTTTTTGTTATTTCTGAATTCTTTAAAGAATAAGGCAGAGCAACACCTTCTAAAACACAGAGATCTGTCATAGTAGAATACCTACATGCCACCAGAGGGTGCTACTGTATATACTAGGAATAATTTAATTACGGCCAGACACCTGAAGGTCCTGTGTCATCCTCCTCATTCTAGTTCATCATTATGCTGTACACCAGTGCAAAGACAGGGATCCTAGTAAGATTGTAGCCATTTCTCTCACACAAACCACTTAGGTGTGTGCACGATGCAGCTGGTGGTTTGACCACAGTGTTGTTGAGTCATCTATTCATGGACATTTACACAAGAAATGACAGGGGCTGTGTTCAAAATGAGTCAGCTGAATCGTCCAACTGCTTTTCTGCCAGACAAACTCTGGGCAGTGCCATTGTTCAGAGCATCAACTTAATGATAACGCAAAACTCTGTCAGCTCATTGAGTTATTTTTACTAACTTCATGAGTGAGACTTAGTGGACATAGGGTGCATGTCATTGACTGGTCTGCCTGCAGTCCAGATCTGTCTCCTACTGCAAACTTCTACTACATAATGAAGGGAGGAAGAATCATCGTTGACCATAACCAATCTTTTACACGGCAGGAATATGTGGAATTCTTAACTTCAAAGTTCTACCCTTAATTCAATTGAATTAAGAATTAAGAAAATTGAAATATTCGAGTAGAGTAACTAATTGCAGTAAAGTACATTTTCAGTTCCTGAAAAGATTATAGTTTTAGCCAAAATTAGTTACATTGACGGAGTAGGTTTCTTGAAGACGTTTCAGCTCTCATCCAAGAGTCTTCTACAATTCTTGGATGAGAGGTGAAACGTCCTCAAGAAACCTACCCCGTCCAGTTGCCCTTGATGTAACTATTTTTGGATAAGATGACCTGGATGACTACAGACATTATAGTTTTAGATTCAGCCAACTCAGTATGAAAGCAGTCTCGATGTTAAATTCGTGCAAAGCATAAAACATTTGCAACAGTTTTTCTTCGAATTCTGAGCATTTCACTAAATAAATGCACAAAGGCAGGGATGACCTAAAAGCCCAGCTCTATGCAACGTCTTCACTCCACACTGATTGTAACTGTCCATCCTGGACGATCAGCTGCAGCGGACTTTAGCCAGGAAATATGCGACGCTCAGAAAAATCCACACAACCAGCAGGTTGGGGCTGAGGGCCAACAATGGCAGCGAGTACAGGAGGCTGGGGTCCAGCCGGAAGTCACGCAGCGGGAGCAGGCCGCTCAGATTCTTCTGGATCACGCCCTCCCTTGTCCCAATGCTGCCCAATCACAGCAGTGGAAGCAGGAAGGTGTGGGGAAAAAGGTTTTGAGAAGGGGAAGAGAGAAAAGGAAAGGAAAACAGAAGCAAAGGAGAGGGAACAAAATAGGAAAGGAATTAAGGACAGATGAGCAGATAAATGATGATGGCAAAGGGACAGAAAATAATTGAAGGAAATAGAAAAGTCAATAAAAACAAAGGAACAAAGGTGGAGGAAGGAGGGTTGACAGGAAGGAGCCGCATGTGTTTGCACCAAGCCAAGAACAGATGGTGTCATGAGCAAAATATGAAAATAATGAAAATCACAAAGGACGTATAAATAAAGATACACAGTATGGGTGGCAGGCAGTGGTTTCCATTATGTTCAAAATAATAACAATATTTTAAAGAAACACAATGCACAAAAAACACAAAACAACCAGAACAAACAAACAAAAAACGATAGGGGTTTGAAACAAACGCAAATCACCACAGGGGAAATAGTGGAGGAAGAGGAAAAAAGAGAAAGATAAAAGAGAAAATTAAGAAAAATATTTCTTTCAGAGAACAGAAAGAAGAAGATTAGAAACTCTACAGTGGTTCTACTTGTTAACAACAGCATCTCTCAGACATGGGGAGGAGTTGGAGAAAGAACACATGGAAAATGGGGACAAATTAAAGGTACACTGCGTAAAAATTTAAACTTCTTTTTTACTTGAATGAATCGTTTAATCGAACAATAAAAGTACATTTTTACATTTGACTAAAAGCTGTCGTGCCTGTGTAATTTATATTTAAGCTGACTAGTCCTAAACGGCGTAAATAATTAAATGTATCATTATGAATATAAATTATACCTAATATCTACTCAAATAATTTTGTGTTCTTGCTGAAAGTTGCTGAAGCCAATTGCTTCAGAGGAGAAAATCTAATTTCTGAAACGACCTGTCATTAAATGCTACTATATATATATATATATATATATATATATATATCTATGGACAATTCTTCTCCATTAAATTAAATAAACTGTTTTTCACTGGTTATCTTTCTCTCCATATAAATCTCAGTTTATTTTATACTTTAAATGTAGAGATTACATACCAGTGTACCTTTAAGTAGGGACTTAAACATATTCCAATAAAATTAAGAAATAATTTGGATTTAAGGCTTTTAAATTCCATGTGTTCCATGTACTCGGCAAAATGAAAAAAGTTTAAAGGAAAGGCAGGATGAATGGGATGCAGGATCTCGGAGCTTATTTAAACCATTCCAACACAAGATCTGAAGATGATCAAAAGGCTTGTTTTCATGCTCGACGGCTGATGGGGCCGAGGTGGAAATAAAGAAAGAGGGATGTGAGGAGCAGGATAAAAGAGGGAGAGGAGGAGGAGAAGGTGAAGAAACATTGTATCATGCCACATTCTTCTGTGGTGCAGCTTTTATTCAGGTTACAACAACGACAGGTGGTGATTACATCCTTCTCATCTAAACAGTAATCTTAGTGTTTACAACACACAGAGCAAACATGAAAACTGCACTGAGGACGCACAAGTGTTTTTGTGACACACAGAGATACAAACAAACACTCTTTTATTGCAAAGTGGGATTTGCAGGGTGCAGCTTTACCAGCAGGGGGAGTAAAATGAAAATCAGGAATGTAGGCTTTTTACAGTGGTTGTGCAAAAATAAGGAGAGCAAAGTGATGCAAAATAATTTCAATAAAATGTCTTCTGTGTTTAGTTGCCATGTTTCTAACTTAGTTTGTTTTGTTTATGGTAATGGATTTTATTTTAATTGGCCTGAAACAGGAAGTCAAGTTCACATTCTTAAACACTGCCTGAACATCATGTCTTGTATATACGTAACCATTGCACTACTGGTAACAAGTAATGTTATACTTAACCAGATACAAGAGTGTCAAAATGAGACAAATATATCTAACGTAAAACTAGGAACTGATTTTGGCATTAATATTTTGTGCTTTCTTGAATGTTTAGCCAAAGGTGTGTCAAGGGCAACATCTAAAGTAAACCTTGGGAAAAAGTTTGTCCTAGGCCCAAAAAAATATGGTGGACATGTCTATCAGGTCAACACAAACAAAACAGTCACTTTAAGGAATATCCTAAAACTAACAAAAAGTCAGTGCTACATCCCATGACTAGCAGGTAGTGTATGGTGCTGTAGCATCAAACTATAACATACACACAGAGCTACTCCCTAACTCCCAGAAATATTTCTCATTTCATATATAATTTGACTTCCATGCTGTGTAATATTCATTTTAAAACTTCATTCTGAAGTGTTGCTTTCTCATTGTTCACTCAAACTCACAAAATGTATCCCTAAGGATGATTATTTATTGTTGTCACCTTGTTAAATTTTACCTGAATTTTAAAATGGCAGAAATGGGGAAAAAAGGGAAATCAAAGAAAGGATTAAAGAAAAACAGTACAGATGATGATGGAAGTTGGTGGTGGGCTAAGGGTATGATACTGTGCTACTGACACTGATGCTAACTCTGGAACAGAACCAAAACAAACAAAGACTTGAAAGCATTGACGTGCTCCTGCACGACACACACTCAGAACTGGATTCTCTCATTTAAAATTTGTATAAGGAACAAACTGATCACTTCAAATCATTCATTTTGAACTTTGCCCTGTCATCATTTTATAGCCATGTTTAATGTAACGTTAAGTTCTCTTACCTGCGCATACAGTCCAGAGCCTGGGTGAAGACCTGTGGGGCCATGCCGTGTTCGTGTTGCAGGATCAGACACTGCTCCAGGGTCACCGACATGGCAGTGCGATCTTTGGCACTTTTGCAGCTGGTGAAACGAACGCCATTCAGACGGCGACAAATCTGAACATGAAGAAGAAATAAAAATTGGTAGAATAGGAGAGACAGCAGAAAGTATTTCAGTATTAATGTTAAAACAAGTTGAACAATAGAATAAATTAAACTTAAACTAAATATAAAAATTCTTACTTCTGCAGCTTGCCAAAGAATATCCACATTCTTATTTTTCCTGGCCTGGACATTCTGTCCCAAAAACCTGAGTAACTCAGGTAGACAAGTCTGGGAACGAGACCTAGGGAGACCTAAGAGGGAGTTAATGTCTGGATGAAATGGATACAATGGTAAAAATACTTTGTAATTGAACTACTTTTACTCTTACTCTTACTTACAGTCCACAGGAAGGACTTCTTTAAACTGCTCATAGTATGAATTTAACCGGGACAGACTCTCCACGTTGATGTTCTCCTGCAGGGAAGTGTCTCCAAACCTGGGCAGGAAAAAGTCCTTAAAGATAGTTTTGGACAGAACAAGTGTTGGAACAATGTTTTTCAACTCACTCACTTTTCAGCCAGCGTCTGCTGTTCATTGATGCCGACGTTGAAGTGCACAGGCTGAACCCTCAGCAACATTCCACTCTGGATCTCTCGGGGCAAGGCGTCAAACATCGTCCCCGGGAGCGGGATGCGAACGTTGAAACCATCTCGGTTACCAGTGATGATTGGCAGGAGGTCGGGAGCGGAGGTGCTCGTGGCCTGAGTCACCTGGTAGCCAGGTATTGTTTATGCAAAACACACATACACATGAAGCCACTGTCAGTTGATGTCGATGTGACTTTCATGTTGGCTGTTAAAGATCACAACGGCTGCCGGTGACAGATTGTAAACAACAAAGGACAAGGGCTTTATTTTTAAAGTTTTTCTTAAGTGCTTAATGCAAAGCAAATACCAAGGTCAAAATCATCCCAAGAGGTTGTGTTGTGTTTAATGTGTTCACAGACAAGAGCCACGATATGTAGTTACCAACTGTGACATTATTGTCTTTTAAAATTCTGCATCATCACCTAGTTTACGTCACAAATGTTTCTCTTTAATAGTTTAATCCTGGTCTATGTCATTCATTTTACCTTAAAGGTGACATTACGCAGATCCATGACTCCCACACTCATGTCCTCCAACATGGACAGTTCGTCCCCTTAAAAAAGAACAGTTTTTATAATGTTAATAATACAATCAGTATTGTGTGATTTTACAAGGCAATAACTGAAAATATTTCTTCAATACTAAACAAAAGTCCTGAGTAATTGAATAATTAGGAGCTAATGACAAAAACGACACCTAAGAGAATGGGCATAACAATCATGTCTCTGGGGTGTGTTTATGTGTGTGTGTACCGTAGGTGCTAAGCAGTGACTCAAACTGAGCCAGGAGGCCAATGGTGTAGAGCTGCCGGAGGAATCCATTGTCACGGAGACAGTTTCTCAGCTTGATAATGAAGCTGCAGATGAGAGCAGTGAGCTACAAGAGACAGGCGCACACACAGGCAGGTAATGACTTACTGTTCCAAACAGCCTTTATTCAACTGTACTGAATATATACTGTATTCACTTTTATGTAGCTAATGTTTTCACCATTCTCAGTGTAATTTATCTGTACTAATCGCTCAATTCTCTTGAATTCTGCACATCAGTTGATTTTGTTTTAAGGTGAGGTTTTTGTTCTTCATGCTCTCCACTTTTGCAAAGTAAGTGCATCAGTTTAGGAGGTAAAAAATATTCTTTTATATACCATACCATAGTGTGAGAACTGACCGTTTGACAGAAGACCACATCACGGCGGTACTGCAGCGACACGTCCATGGCTATGGTGGGGGCACAGTCCTGCATGAGCAGGAAGACCATGGACTTCTTGGCCTTGTCGCTCATCATGGTGACACAGTCTGTGAGTGTGGTGAGCAGAGGGTACAACGCCTCACTCCATTCGCCTGCCAGAGCACACACACAAGAAATTTGGAATTTAAAAAAAATTGCACATCATAGTGTCATAGTGTACATGATGCTTATGTAATACTTTTTTTCTAAACCTGTTTTAGATATTTTTTGACAAGCCAGGACAAACAAAGACAAAGAAGCAACAGGGGGAGAAAGGTGCTGCAACAGACCTGTTATCATTTACTTGAAAGTTTTATCTGCAGGAAATGGACAGCAGCAACAATTTCATTTTCACAAAATGAAATTTTTTTTGTGTAACTGTAAACATTGAGCATTTATCTCCTCTGTTTTCCAGTAGTGGGTGCTATGATCATTTCGAATGCCCAGGAGTTTAGTGGGTTGATCCAATAATATTATATATTTTTATGAATAGCGATAATACTTATTATTAAACTCTAAACAGTCAGTTAAACTTAGCTCATTATTACGATAACTCGTATATTAAGGTGTATTAACAGACAGTGACAAAGAGATTAAGCACTTTACCTTTAACCAGACCTATTTTCCACTAGTGATCATTAACCAGTATAAAATGAGCAATTATTGACGATTGGTTGATGATTGATTGATTACAGCAATTACCATCGTATGACCCAGATACGGTTACTTCAAGATAAGGCCAATCTTATCTTGAAGTGTCTTGAAGACAGCACCTAGTTTCTGTCATTCATTTCATTCTCACCTATCACTTTTAGTTCTTACAAGTTGGAGACATGGCTCTACCCTACACCCAATATGTGAGGAGTTTGAAGCTCAATGGAAGAAAGGAGAAATTATGGGGGGGTCAACTCTTACCTGGGTACGCCTCCTCAACACTGGGGCTGCCGTCTGGAAGAGGGGTTGAAGGTGCCACACGCACGCATTTAGCAAGGAAGAGGGGTTGAAGGTGCCACACGCATATTTAGCAGACAAAACACATAGGGAAGCAGAAAGAGACACACAGACAAACACTCAAAATCACTGCAGATCAGGATGAAACGCCTTCTTGGTAAGCTGGTACTGTCAATGCAACCTCATTTGGTTTTCTATGGTTGTGTTGAAACACAAGAGCCAGAAATATAAAGGTACTATTGAGTCCAACCTTAAATGCAGGACATGTGTTTTATAGAGAAGGTATCTCAGCCTGGTCCAGTGAAACATGTACAGGAAAATGAGCACAGTTTGATAAAACACATCTACATTCTGATGTGATCTAACAGCTGAAGCTTCCACACTGCTGAAGCCAGAGAGCCCATATAAAGTATCATAAACAAGGGGGGCAAGCACATAAAAATGCACACAAAACCGTATCCTGCATTTCACCCTCCCTGGTTAGAAATAAGCATTTAAATTGCTCATTTGAATTCTTTAAAATATTAAGAGGCAAATGTATGCATAACATTTAACTATGTAACATTTTATTTCTTTAAATCAAAATTAAATAAAAAAAAAACAAAAAACATGGAAGTAACAAAAAAAAGGCAAACACATACAGGTCTTCTGTTCAGTGGTGCAAGGGTGTGCAGAGGGAGGAGGAGGTGCAGGTGATGAAGATGAGGATGGTAAAAGTGATGAGGATGATGACGATGATGATGAGTGGGAGGGATTATCTTCTGACAAACTTCCTGGGTTGATCCAGAAAGCTCGTCGTTTTTCTTCACCTTTTCATTGTCAGAGATTGGTGTTACTCAAAAAAGGCATAAAAGCAGTTCTTCTTACATCAATAAAAATAACCTGGCCTTTAGTAGTTAGCTTACAGTGTTGTTGGTGCTGTGTATCTATTAGCATCATACTATAATCATTTTTACCTTTTTTACTAACGCCGCCCTGCTGGTCATTCTGAATACTGTCCTGACTGGAAGTGCTGGGCCTCCTGCTTTTCTGAAGCAGCTTGTCAACACGCTGCATGATGCATTCCAAAGATTTTTCTACATTTATCCAAACCTTTTCCTGGAAGAAACAGAAAGTGGAAAAAAACAATATTATATATTTTATAATATAAAAAAATCTCATATACGATGAATCCCATGTTACCCATTCTTCCTCGTGCCAGTCAATATGCAGTGAGGATCGACTGTTGCTGCCACTCCACTTGGCCAGCAGTGTGTCTTGATCGTTACGCAGAACTACTTGCTCTGAGTCAGCAGAAGGAGACGCTTTGGAGGCAATATATTCAGGGCGCGCTGCATTCAGAGCCTGAATAGCTGAAGCGAGCAGCTTACAGTCACACACATTGACAAGCTGTCGAGTCTGAAGGGAGAAGAGGTATTTTTTTAAATGTGTGACAACATATCGGTCTCCAGGTTAAATCAAATGTCTTTGCAAAACTCTAGGAACCTGTGCGAACTCAAGGAACTGAAGTAAGTAGTCACAAAAAGTGCTATTAAGTTAGCTGCAGGCTGTGATGGATTAGGTTGCTGCAGTGATGGGCTCAGCTAAAGTTTTATGCCAGGTCTACTGTATTTAATACTTCTTCTTACCACCTAAAAAACACATTTCCCTAAAAAGGAAGATTTATTTAGTATCCCTAAACCAGATTGAAGGCCAGAGTTGTAATACTCAGTTTCACAGATTTTTCCTCCATCCTTCTCTTCCAAATTATCTAAGTTAATAATTAAAGATGTTTAGGTTCACTAACATGATAATGGTGACGATTACCAGTGTCACCACTTACTACTGAAAAACGGAGGAGTCATCTCAGAATATATATATATAATATCAACTTCACTTAAAGTCTAGTTACTACAGATTGAATAGAACTAAACAAAACACATTTTTCAGCGGAATTTAAACCCCTCACCTTATCAGCCAAAATGGTGAGTGTCCTCTCGATACCACTGGCCGATCGGTCCTTCGCAGCTCGTGAAAGCCTCTCAGCGTAGTAGCTCACCTGAGTTTTCAGCGTGTTGACGTGTGCAATGATTTCTTTGGCTTGGACAATGTCCTGGGGTATGTAGACGATTGACTGCGAACTGGACAGTGCACTGCTGACAAAGGAAAGATGAACATACATATCTGTACTTCTGTATTTGACTGTATGTCGATGACACACCATTATATTACTTACTATGACTGAAGTCAGTTTTTATTCTTATGCATTATTTACAAGGACTAATATCAGTCACCGATTCACAAACATGATCAGAGCATTTCCGTGCACATGCCTTCACTGAATGAAGTCTCTAACAACTTTTATGGCAATTGAAGACAATGGGATTGTTACTTTAACAAATGTTCAGTTCACAAATTCAGCCAAATGAATATGTCTGAATTTATAAAGTGAGTGACATTAGGTTATAACTTGTTGTGACCTGTGCACCACAGGGGTTTACTACATATCCTGGAGTTAGAGAAGCAGTTATGTTTCTTTTGCAATGCAAAGGGTGTTGATAGTAATCAGCCCTGTGTTGACATGAGGTTGAATACTTCTGTGTTGCATCTTTGAATTATGCAAAAAATAAATACATGATGACACGAAGCAACAAAAGGATGCAGTGTACAAACAAATGAAAATTTGCTAAGCTCTGGAAAAAACTCACCGCTCCTCCTCACTTATGCTGATCAAAAAATAAAGATGGGAAAAACAACAAAAACAGTAGCAAAATTAAGAGGTTTAAGATTTCAGCCAAACTTTAGAAAACGTGTAACAGCAAAACAATAAAATAACCTTTACATGCCTTTTTTGCAGAAGTTGGCCAACAGTGGTGGACGGTTACATGCTTTTTGGTAAAAAAAAAAAAAATACTGTGGAATTGAATCACCCAGTTACGGGTAACTGCTTTTATATTTGCTCTTACTATCCAAAACCTTTTTTTTTTTTGTAACTTAAGCTTAATATAAATAATTTAAAAAGTACACAGTTTTTTAAAAAAAATCAACATATACTACATTAACTTTAACTTGTTCAAATGTCTTATGTACTGGTGTTAAAATGTTTAATTATTCTTGGCTTTTACATTGGTCTATGTAATAAGAAGTTAAGTTTGGGAATTGACTTGACTCTGGACTTACTGTTTTTTTGCCTCCTCAAACTTGTGGATGAGTTTCCTCAGACCATTGTTTTTAAATCCTTGGCAGTGAGCGGCTGGAGCGCCAATTGTTACCACGTCATACGTCTGGTCTGGGGGACAATTATTCAGGTGGAACCAGAAATGAAATGTAGTCACGTAAAGAAAGATGCTTTCTTTTTTTTCTTTCTATCGTGTCTCTGTGTCTCACCAAAGCCTAGCTCGTCCTGCACTCTCATCCTCTGGACATGCAGGTTGGTTGGCATAAACTCCAGCTTCCTTTCGGCCTTCAGGTTACTGGCTTTGAATAATGGCCCTAACATGGTCAGAGTAGTGAAAAAAGACAAAAACAAAATAACCTCAGACCAGGTTGATACATGGATACTAAAAAAAGGTTTGTACGACACAGACCTCTATAGTCTTTGAGGTCAGACAATGTTTCCTGGTATGAGAGTATTGTGGTCTGGTACTGAGAGACAATTTGTCGCCGTAGATTCTCCCAGCAGGGTGATAACTCTCCGAGCTCCTCCAGTTCACAGACTCTGGAGATGAAGAGAAAGATAGGTGGAAGATATTCAAGAAGAAAAATGTAATTTAATGGGAAAAACACCGTCAGAACACACCATAAAAAGGATCTGTCATTATGAAAAATCAGTTGTATTCTGCAGGACAAAGTAGAAAGAATATCGAGATGGAAAAAATGGGTTTTGAGAAAGTTCCATTAAAAAGTAACTAAAAACCACTTACTTTTCTAGCTTTTCGGATGATAGGTTATATGGATGATTGTTTTTCTATTTTTCCCACTTTTATCATTCTGTTTTTTGAGTTTTCAGAAAGATACTAAAAATGCAAGCAGTTTGTGTATCAACATTAATGGGAATCTACTGTATGTTTCTGCACCTAGCTGTATCCTCCTCCAGCAGCAGTTTTACGAACTGTCTGGGAATGTTTACGGAAAGGACGCTCTCAGCCATCTGCTCCAAGACACGTAGGTGGTTCCCATCAGTGGTGGGGAAGCGGTACATCCGAGACATGGTGCCTCCAAACACTGAGGAAAAAGGAAACTTAATTAGATTGTTACAAATGAGACCAGATATAACCTTTCTATGTACTATTTGTGCAGTGAGTGCCTTTTTGGAATTTAAGACACCTGTTTATTATTTTATCCTTCCCTATATTTAGAGAACATTACTATTATCTGTAACATATCCCACTGTGTAAAAAGAGATGTCCCACACAAGGACAACAATCAATAGGCTTTGACTTGATAATAAGATCAGGAGTCCAATGTATCAGTAAAACTGGAGCCATGTAGGACAGACAAATGACAAATGGCAAATGGTGAGACAGTGGAAAACTGAAGTTTAGAAATCATACATTAATCATGCAATAATATGTGCTATTGTATAGACATGTTTACTATCAATACATTTAAAACAACTACAGGACGTTTACCATGGACTAATTTGCCAAGAGCAAAAAAAGGAACGTTATTTCATTTTTTTCTTTTGTATGAAGTAGGTATTTTAAAATCATTATTTGTATATAAATTAATAAATTACTTTGTAAAATAATTGGACCAATTTCCGAACATCAACAACATTTTTGTACCTGAGCGCAGTAGAGTGTCTTTGCTTAGTGAGGCGTACTTGATTCTGACTCCCATCGACTCCGTGAGGCTCTCGTCCACGGACAGCATCGTCTGTGGGGAATACAAAAAAAAAACAAAAAACAAAACATTGCCTTGTAAAATATTGAACCTACATGAAGTGCTACTCAAATGAACGGTTATCTGATACAAACACAAATCCAGTTGCATACACCACGACTACGACACACACCACTACACCACACCGTTAGTATAAAATGGATAGTTATATGAACAGGGTTAAGTGAGATATGTCAACCTTATACCAAAAATAAGAAAGCTCAGCAACATGCACTACTCACCCTGCCATTGATGCCGTCTGGTAGGTGAGTGAGTGACATCCTGTGATCAGCTTTGTCCTCCATCTGCCAGGCTGCTATAGTTATGCTTCCCACCAGCTTATTTTCTGCAGAACTGTACAATAATATTACAGTTTTATTTCCCTGCAAAAATCCATAAAACTTGAAACTAGTAGTACCTCAGTTCTAAATGACAAATTCATCCAAAAATATATAGACAAACTAAATGTTACCCAAACTGCTTGTGTTTTTGGGGGGTAACTTAAAAGTAACTTTTTAATACGTTGTTGTCAAATATAAAAGAAGCAGTTAAATGTTTTATTTTTTTGTCTATTTGTTACCGGAGTTCCAGCTGTAATCTGTGGGTCTTCTCCTGCAACAACTCCTTCACAGGAAAAAGTGCTGATCCCAAGATGTACATCTGAACACAAGGAGACCAAAACAGTTGTATTACGTGGAGTCCTATTTGTTGTGTGCTGACATGCGTCATATATCCCTATTATCACAGTCTGATGTCAATGAAATTATGCAATCAATTTCACCCTTTTTGCTGTGCCCTTATATCTATTGTGAATTATTTTAGCATCATACCGTGCCCTGCGATCGGTCCTTGACATCATAGACGGCCAGCTTCACCTGCGTCTGCTGGTTAATGTTGGAATCCTGAAAGAAGGCGATGCTGCTGAGGAAGATGGGGTTACTGGTGCCCTGTGGTCAGCAGGGAAGTGACAAGGGTTATTTTAAGGGAGAAACGCTTC